TTCAGCGGAAAGTACTTCTTATTATCATCTTGACTATTTCCCTCATGTCAAATCGCAGAATAGTAAGTTGAAATATTCCAGGTGTTAGTTCGATTCACCTGATTGGTCGATGACATTCAGAAGTCACATTTAGATATTAAGGCGTTTATACTTAAAGAATGAACAAAAACATACATGGAGGACATTTCTGAACACATAAAATTCATTTATTAAAATGCACTGGCACTTTAACCACATTATAGCAAATACTGTTTTATGAAACTCTTTCATTTTCTGATCTAAGATATACTACTTGTTTTTATTAAGTAGTTTAGGTAAATCAACCTAATTGTTAGCGTTCAATGAATATTTTATCATTTACTTTCAGTTCATGAACACTAACTATAAAATGAATGATGCTTAGAACTGATATTTCGTAACGAAATCCAATGAAGTTGTCTTAATCGACCTTGCCAATCACAGGAAAAGCAATATGAATTCGAATTTTTTGACTAAACTTATGAATTTAAAAAATCACTTGTTTGATCAATTTCTTTCCTATCTTCTTCACAGTAGTGACCATTCACTGCCTCGCCAGTGTCTGGTGTCTGAAAATATCATATTGTTGGGCACTTTTAACATTACTTACTTACTTACGCCTGTTACCCACAATGGAGCATAGGCCACCCACCAGTTTTCTCCAACCAACTCTGTCCTGGGCTTCCCTTCCTAGTTCTGTCCAATTTTTGTTCATTCTTCTCATATCTTTCTCTATTTCTCGGCGTAATGTGTTCCTTGGCCTTCCTCTTTTCCTTTTACCTTGAGAGTTCCATGTGAGGGCTTGTCTTGTGACGCAGTTAGGTGCCTTTCTACTGTTAATATTATTCTCGGTTTTCATCCAAGTATTTATTTACTTAAGACTAATTCACTTCGTTATCCAGCTTGTAAGACTCGTCTAATTCTATACATACAGAGGCTTCAGTAAAAACTCCAGTCACTATTTAAACAGGGGGTATTGTCATCAAATTAAACAGATTAACCATTATTTCAGGTTTTTCAAATTATTTTAAATTATACTACTTATTATTAATGAGTACTATAGATTGTAGTCCGGCTATTTCGAAAGCTCACATACATCAATCAACATCCAATAGTAGATTTACAATAATCATGATATAATTGTATGATAGTTACATTTCCAGATAGGAGGAATGTTTGTTCGTAATATTGATCTCTAACACATTGAAACCATCAAACATCATCATCATCAACCTGAAAGCCCTGACAGACGGCTGTTTCGTCCTGATGTGGGACTCATCAGCAGTGCGCTTCCATGACTCCTGCACCTCGCAGGATTCGAACCCAGGACATTCGGTCTTGCGAGTGAAAGACTAACCTGAATTTGAAATGTCCATTCTAATCAATAAACAAGGAAATGACAAATGTTTTCATGAATAAACGATTGTATAACTCGTTCGTACCAACGAACACATATGCCTCACAGATGGGTCTCACAAAGAATCACGATGAATAAAAATGACATGATATTGACATTTTGTTGGGGAGCTCTGGCATATCCTCTACAGAGGCCTAGGAACTCCAGGAAACGTTTCATCCAATCAGTTAGGAATAAAAACTTCACAGAAACATCTGGAAAATGCATAATCACTTGCCATGATTCTGATTGATGATTTGGCCATGCCGCTGATGTATTTAGAGTGGTTTTCAAATCTTCAAGAAGTCGAAGGTCATTGATAGCTTTATAAATACCCTCATTTTTCTATATATAAACTAAATTTGGAATAAGGCTTTCATCTCGTACTTCGCGCCTTTTCTCTAACGTTCAAATCACAGTATAGATTTAGTTTGAGGTTATTAGAAACGGTTAGGAATCAGATCTTGCGTTTATTTAGAGGACTTATCACATTTTCAGACATATCACGATTTTGATTGTACTAAAAATACTCTGCCATGTGTCCTCTTTACCACTTAAAGTTGGGTTAATTTATTTCGGTGATTTACCTATTTATTGACTCTGAAGAAATGACCTACATTTTATGATCTAAGAGTAATGAGAAAATTTCCTATTCTATTCTTACTACTTTAAATTTCTCTCTCCTTTATTAACAGTCATTCCTTTTCATATATGTAAACTTTTAATTGATTGACCAATGGTCATTCTGTCAGTCAGTTACAACGTAGAACTTCGTACGTAAGTACATCAATTCAAGTTGCTATACCACATTAGCACAGAGTTCAACCCGATCGGTTGTGGGCAGTAAATACCGGCAACGAAGGGGTGAGGCAGAGCGAAATCCCCCCAAATTTATCAACTTTAGACAATAACACCGCTAAATGCCGACCCAACGGACCAAGCGTTCGCGCGCAAAACCTAACGTTCAGGGGTTGAATCCTGCAAGTAGCAGGAGTCACGGATGTGCACTACTGATAAGTCCCATATTAGGACGGAACGGTCATCCAGTGCTTGAAGGTTTCTAATGGTGGTCAAATAATGTTTGATTTATGAGTTCAGTGATAAAAAACGATCTACATAACCCCAAAATGAATATTTAACTTTTATTAGTTTTCATGTAATCACTTTGATAAGTGTACATGTGTTTGACCGGCACAAATACTTCACTTATTTTCAGATCAACTACGTCTCCTCATTTGTCCAATCAAAATGTATGAAAAAAGGCTAGTTATTTTATATTGCTCTCCTAAAAAATGTGAAGAAATTCGTGAAAGTAAGGCGTGGCTTAGTTCTCTTTGAAACTGGATATATGTTATTCTAGATCAATGAAGAACCTCCTTTTGAAATGGTCAAATAACTGTAGGAATAACAGATTTGCACCACAAATGTTCTTGCTTGCCATGATATGAAACTTACATTATTAAATGTTACATAGACGTTACACTATTGTCTGTAATGACTCGTCCTAGTGTAACAGTCAAATAGTATGCTTCTTAGGACTTCTGAAAGATTTCATTTGAGTTTCACACAGAGTCATATATATATATATATATATATATATATATATATATATATACCACCAGTAGTAAAAGTTATATACAGTAATCACGCCTACATGACTGAATCGTGCAATTTTGAATGAGTTCTCCCGCGTTAACTGTTTTCGGCTTCCATTAAGTATTCAACAGGTAATGTAAGTCTTTTCAGTTATTGTACGTTTAACTTCAAGTATTATATGGTTAGGAATTAATGCCACTAAGTCGTGGTTTCCTAAATTTCGTTAGTTTTCTCGTGGTATTTAAAAATAACTAAGCTTATAGTGTAGTGAACGAGAACACAGGTGGGGTAAACGAATTGTGTTTCATCGGAAATTACACAGTTACTCAGTAAAATCTGAAAACCATATCGTAAATCGTTAATTTGCAAAATATCAGTTCATCATATCGAACTGGACTATTCCTGTTGCAAAACATCAATCCATTGTCACTATTCATGCGTTTCATACAAATTCCATTGTGTTCTAACTCTTCCTTTCTCTTGATCTTCCCCCATGTTCTGCTGCCAGACATTACGTTGACACTCACGTCATATACTACTTATAAGTAGCTCACACCACAATAGTATTTTTATTCAATTCTTCAATGTCATTTGTTATTAACAAATGATATTGAAAATAATAACGCATTCAAAGTTCAATTACTTATTTTTACCATAAATAATTTATTTAAAATCATATAATAAATACTATAAAGTAATTTACTGTCAAGATAAATGCCAATGCTCTATGTTCAATAATCAATCTATTGTTCAATTGATCAATGAATGTCACAGAGTACACGTGTCAGTCAGTTGCAACGTAGAACTACGTACGTATGTACATAAGTTCATGTTGCCATACCACATCAGCACACAGACGCAAATGTCAAATCAAATCCCATAGTGATAAAGTTAGTAGAGGTATTAATGGTAATGAAGAAGACTAGGATTTGAAGATATTATTCAGAAAGTATCATTGAGATAAGGTTAGAAAGACAAAGGTTGAGGTGCTGACGAATCCAGAAGATTAGGATTTGAGAGAACACAAAGAATGGATGCACTTGCGCCATTGCAAACGATTTTGAGCCATGTCATTCAAGGTCTCTAACCATTAGTGACTTTCATCTCGCGGATCCCAACTAGGTAGTCGACAACTACCAACATGACTCAGTCCACTTGTCAGTGACTTCATGGATTCGTGCCATGTTTTGGTCTGGCTGCCCGTAGCTTTCTTCCAATCTACTCCTACACCACAAAACATAGCTTGTCGTGGCAGTCGGTGGTTAGGCATTCGTAAAACATGTCCCAACCACCTCAACTGATGAAGTTTCACCACTTCATCGATTGATTTGCCATCGTTACCTAGCACTCGTTTCCTAACGACAGCATTGCTTACTCGGCTGTCCCACGATATACGAGCAATGCTTCTTAAACATCTATGATCGAATACTAGTAACCTACGAACATCTTCTACTCTTAACGGCCATGTTTCACAGCCATATAAGAGAACGGAACGAACTGCTGCACGCTGTACACTCGTCCTTTAGTCAGCGAACGGATATCACGCCTACGCCATAAATGACGCAAATTGGCAAAAGCCAATCCGGGCCTTCTGTATGCGCGCTGAGATTTCGTGTCAGTCACCAGGTTATCAGCACTGATGAGACTCCCTAGATAAGTGAAGTGATCAACACGCTCAACTAATTCACTCCCTCCTATCACTAACTAGTTCAGGTACCGATGCAACCCATTCTTGAAGCAACCACTTTGCATTTCGAGGGTAGTACACGTGAGATGATGAGATGTCAAATAATTAAAACAAAAATTTTTAATTATTAATGCTAGTTAGTAGTAAGTAATTTTATTGAAACCGTTGACAATAAATAATAAGACAAAAATAGAACAAAAAAAAGTATTTATTTTTATTTATTCATTCAATTAAAACATTATAATAAGAAGTAATTATTCTTTGTAATAATAGTAATAGTAATAATAATAATAATATAAATAGGTTTGTTTCTGATACATATACATAGATATATATTTCTTTTTTCAATTATATATAGATTAATTGAACAGTATGATTTCATCAATTTGTGCAATCTTTTTACATTTTGTCTGATTGAATTCAATGATCAATACCTGCGTGTGTGTGTGTGTGTGAGAGAGTAAGTGTACGAGTCTGTTTGCGACGTAGACAAAAAAACATGTTGTTCAACTTGAAGATGAATACGTTTCTTCTGTAATTTTGCTCTAACTACTACTACAGTATTGATCTTTGATAATCACCGATAACAGAATATTCTGTTTTATACATATTTGGAGTAGCATGAACTATGGCAATGCCTGGATCTTGGTGAGAAATAAGAAAGAGAAGAAGGAATATTAATATTAGTAATAGTATTAGTGGTATTGGTAGTAGTGTGGTGCGAGCTACTTATAAGTATTATATGACGTGAGTGTCGATCGATTGTACTAAACGTATAAACAATGATTAAACAGCTGAAAACGCATATAAACACAGAACAGACAGTATTACCAAAGTGTTAGGATATTCATCCAATATCCTAAGAGAATTATTGGTCAAATCCTATTGGTCGATTTCTATTGGTCAAAATTATGGTCGTTTTAACTGTCAAAGTCAAATACTTCAATGTTGCGCCTCTTACTGTCAATGTCATTCCAAATGTGACTTCCTATTGGTCGTCTTAACTGTCAATGCCACAGAAAGAATTCGATGCTGTTTCCTATTCGACCAAAATGTATAAATACGCATTATCTGTAACATTTTATGACTACGACCAGGGCTCGGTCCCGGATCCTGATTCTCTCCTGGATTCGGATCTCGTACTTTCTGGATGTTTGTAGAATACACGTTCTACTTCATATCATGTCTTCTTATTTTAACTAAATATGGGGGTTGGGATGATCGAATTTGATTAGCATGTCGTGTCGCCGGATCCTAGATCCTCGCTCTCGTTTTCCGACTAGGTAAACTCGTAATAGTTCAAGTATAATATCAAGTTGACGTGTTTACGTGCAGGTGTTACACAAAGTCAGTATAGATAGATAGATCTTGTCAAAATTCAATTCAGCTCAGAGTGATGGCAGCCATTTTTTTCTTCAAACAATGATTTCTCATTGGTCACATTTTGTCTTCGCTCATGCATCAGCAGCAACAGCTGATGAAAACTATCTCAGACTGAGATGAAAAGCACATGCCAATGTTCAGTGTTGATTAGTATTCAGTAATATTAATAATAATAATAATAATAATAATAATAATAATAATAATGTCAGAACAAATCGATATTCCATAGAAATCTCGCCATACCTGGTAAAGTGAATGGTGTGTCTACTGGACACTGTTTGTCCATTTTGTTGAATATATTATTTGGATGTTTAAATTCTGACTGGTATATGCTTTCAAGACCACTTTAGAAAAACAAAATTATATAAACAGTAAGATAAATATTTCTTATTAATATATTTATTAAAATAACAAGGTATTACTTACTTACTTACTTACTAACTTACGCCTGTTACCACACCCAATGGAGCATAGGCCGCTGACCAATATTCTCCAACCTATTCTGTCCTAAGCCTTCCTTAGCGGTTTTCTGTCCGATGGCTATTCATTCTACTCATGTCTGTCTCCATTTCTCGGCGTAATGTGTTCCTTTACCTTGCCCCTTTTCTTTTGAAAAGTGGACTGAGTCATGTCGGTAGGTGTCAACTACCTGATTGGGGTCCGCGAGATGTTCGTAATCGATGGTTAGAGACATTGAATGACATGGCTCAAAACCGTTTGCAATGGCGCAGGTGCATTAATTCATTGTGTTCTCTCAAATCCTAAATTCTTCGTCACTTTATAAGTCTATTTCACTAGATTCTACTTCTTGAATAATATCTTCTAATCCTAACCTCTCCAACTACTGCTCATACCTTTACTACTATTACATTTGAATTGACAATTACATCTCTGTGCTAATGTGGTATGGCAACATGAAGTGATGTACATACGTACATAGTTCTACGTTGCTATTGATTGATTGATTGACTGATAAGCAAAAGTCTCACCTATGCCATCGAAAGAAATACAAAAAGTACCTACAGTGTGTCAGATTTAAAGGATCACTAGAGTCCCATACCAGGACGAAACGGCCGTCCAGTGCTTCCAGATTTCGAATGGTGGTCTAACAGTGATTGATTGATGATTTCAAATGTGTAAAAACATAAACCTCCAAAACTCTGCCCGAAAAGATCATTAGAGAGTTTTACAAATTACATTGAGTAATACCATGTGTTAAACACTCATCAATGTTGGAGGTGAAGAAAATTAAGACTAGTTTTGCATTCTATCTGGGCGAATTCTAAGGAACAAATCTGGTCATTCTGATGGGAGAGCCATTTTCGTGATGACTGGTAGTGAGTACAAACTCGTAAAGAGGCGACGTGGACCGAGAGAACGAAAGAAGAATGATGAGATATCGGTATATCTGTTTGCTTTCAATCACATAATAATGAATAGCGGTGGAATAATTGGGCAGCAGAGAGCAATATTAGTTAGTTCATCTCATTGGAAATTTTGTAATTATCTATACTTCATTTAAAAATAAACGAAACAGTTTGTGGTGTGAATCAAACAAACTAGAATAACTGGCAGTTGATTAGATGAAATTGGTTGAAACATACCAAACTGAAGGCAGAATATAATAGCTAGTAAATTGTATTGCCACTAAAATATAAAATTTTTCTGACCAAACTTATCTGGGGAGTCTCATCAGCGGTGATAGCCTGGTGACTGACGAAACCTCAGCGCGGATATAGAAAGCTCGGTCGGCTTTTGCCAATTCATACCGTTTATAGCGAGATATCCGTTCGCTAACCAGAGGACGGGTGTACTGCACACCAGTTCGCTCCGTTGTCCTATATGGATGCGAAACATGGCCGTTAGGAGTTGAAGATGTTCGTAGGTTATTAGTGTTCGATTAGAGATGGCTTCAAAGCACTGCTCGTATATCCTGGGACAACCGAGGAAGCAATGCTGTCGTTAGGAAACGAGTACTAGGTAACGATGGCAGATCAATAGATGAAGTGGTGAAACTTGATCAGTTGAGGTGGTTGGGACATGTGTTACGTATGTCTAACCACCGAATGCCTCGACGAGCTATGTTTTGTGGTGTAGGAGTAGGTTGGACAAAAGCCAGAGGCGGCCAGACCAAAACATGGTAGAAATCTATGAAGTCAATGACAAGTGGACTGAGTCATGTTAGTAGATGTAGGCTACCTGGTCGGGTTCCGTGAGACGAAAGTCACCAATGGTTAGAGACCTTGAACCATATGGCTCAAAATCGTTTGCAATGGCGCAAGTGCATCCATTCTTTGAGCTCTGTCAAATCCTAATCTTCTGGATTCGTCAGCACCTCTACCATTGTCTTTGTCTTTCTAACCTTATCTCACTGAATTATACTTCTTGAATTAGATTAAATTGGTTGAAAAATACCAAACTGAAGTCAGAATATAATAGCTAGTAAGTAGTTTTGCTAATAAAATATAAAATTTTTCTAACCAAATTTTCAAACAGTAATAAAACTTACGTATATGGTACATGACGAGTTATTGGTCGTACTCGAGTGCTCTCTGTGGGATACTTGAACTTCAGCGTGTCAATCATAGGCAGTTTTTGGATTTTCATGCCTTCTTTTGGTATTGATCTAGTTGTAAATAGATAACAACAGGTGTAAAGATCTGAATTATGAATTATGTGGAGATTTATGATTTGTTTCCGACCAGAAATCTTGTTTTTCTGCATGAAGCTGTGGTTTGTTTTTACGTGTATAAAAATGTATCAGCACTGTTATTTTAAAATAAAAGTTCCTTTATTAAACAACCGATCGATATTATAGACTGATTTTCAGCTTCATTGAATAAAAAATGTATTGGTTATTATGGTTTTAAATGTTGAGAAAATCTAGTCGAGTTTGAACGAATCCATTGTTGACCTGGTTAACTGACTGATGAGTATTGAATCCGGCCTCACTAAGGACTTTAAGTTGACTTTAATTACTAATATGACTTATGGTTAGCTATTCATTTGTTGATATAACATGAGTTTTTTGGTTAAATTTTGCAGAATATGTATGTAACTGGAAGATCATTGATAAGGCTTGCCATGTTCGTACATCAAAAGCTCCAACATGTAGTCTAAAACCGGGTTTCAGGAGACCAGGAATAACGTTTCAGTAACTCAGATGGCTGTGAAACATGGCCAGTAAGAGTAGAAGACAATCGTAGGTTGTCAGTAATCGATTAGAGATGTCTTCAAAGCATTGCTCAAATATCCTGGGACAACCGAGAAAGCAATGCCTTAGTTAGGAAACGAGTACTAGGTGGGAGTGGCAGAGTAATAGATAAAGTGTTGGAACTTCATCAGTTGAGGTGGTTGGGACATGTGTTACGGATGCCCAACCACCAACTGCCTCGACGAGCTATGTTTTGTGGTGTAGGAGTAGATTGGAAAAAAGCTAGGGGCGGCCAAACCAAAATATGGCACAAACCCATGAAGTCACTGACAACTGGAGCGAGTTATGTTAATAGATGTAGGCTACCTGGTTAGGTTCTGTGAGACAAAAGTCATCGATGGTTAGAGACCTTGAACAACATAGCTCAAAATCATTTGCAATAGTGCAGGTGTATCCACTCTTTGTGTTCTCTCAAATTCTAATCTTCAGAATCCCTCATCATCTCTATCTTTCTCTTTCTAAAGTTATCTCACTGAAATACACTTCTTGAATAATATCTTCGATTCCTAACATCCTTCATTGCCGGTATTTCTTCTACTATCTCTACCACTATAGGATTTGAACTGACAGTGACGTCTCTGTGCTAATGAGGCATGGCAATCGTCAGTTTGTACGTACCTACGAAGTTTTATGTTGTATTTGACTGACTGAAGGCTATCCATGATGAATATTAATTACTATACACTTACTCATCTTTGTACATCAAAAGTTAATATTGTTATACTAAATGACTAAATCGGCCGATGATCTTGACATATTCATTAACTATACTTAAAAATTCACATATTTTTTTTTAACAGATATAATTTCGAATTCTTTTCAACATCTTTTGCTTATGATGTAGACATAAATAAAGCATATAAAATGCAGATATTGATTCTCATTCATCTATGTATGTATTCAACTTATCGTTGGGCTTTGATATATTGTTTAGTTTTCAAAGCCTCCTATAGAATGCATTGTATCAATTCTTTTAACCGTAAATATCTTATAGTTTTGTGAGCTACAAACCAAGTATGACTCCTTTGCTAAAATTCGAGAAAATCTTTACATATAAAATACCATATTTATGTGGGTTTGCCACACTGATGGAAGTCTAGTTTGCTTTAGACTTACTAAAGCCACATTCACAGTTTACGTTTTGTGTCCTTTGAGGAGGTAGAGCTACCTCCGTAGTTTGACGCTAAGTGCATTAAGAAATAAACAACCTAGTTAGCATCTGGATTTCCACCAGATTCATCTACAGTGACGCTTTTTCCCCCACAAATATTCACCCTAGGGTATCTCCTAATTTAATGAGATATTAATTTCATAGAATTGAGGAATATTTTTCTTTCACCACACTGAGTTTATCTTTTTAAATGTAATATACGTTTTTTTGTAGTTTAGTATGAGGTCCCGTTTGATGTTGGAAAACATTGAACCAGTTTATTTCTGAGGGCCTCAAATTCGGCAGAGACAAATCAATACAAATTTAAGTACCTTACAACAACTAAGAAATAAAACGAAAATCTACGGCTAAAGTCCTCTTGAAACAAACATTTTGGCATTGTTGTTGAAAACATAAAATAAGGAAGCAGTAAATTATTTTCAATAAAAAATTGATAACTAAACAAATTAAACAATATATGACTGACGTACTTTGGATCTAAGCTAAACACTTTTGACTCTTTTATTTCTTCAGGCTTCCAAATCCTATGATCTTTCATATAGGTTGTAAGATATGGATCCAAATGTCTTAATATTTCCTTGTCTTTAGGATATAATGGTCTGCCTGATAAACAAGCGCTCTTAGTAGATGCAATGATGTTCTAGGTTTCTAAAGTTATCATAGGAGTGGTTTACCTTGGATGGCCCATCCTTGTGATGATTTTCAAGTTCGAAAGGTTGTATTGATAACGGACGCCATAGTTCACTAGGTCCATCAATATTACAGAATGATTCCTTCGTCTCAGTGGTCTGATAGCTTGGGCTTAAAGGTCTTCTGTAGCCTCCAGAAAGAAACCGTGAACGAAAATCATTTATGTAGTGAACATTCCAGTGATGAGGTGGTAGGGGATATTGTGAGCATTTCATATAATCGTTCGGGAGTTTCAGATCATGCACAAGCTTGTACGATGTTTGGTAGTGATCTTCGGGCTTAACTGCATGTTCAGACTCTAAACCAGGTCTATGTGCTTTATTAATTTTGTTCTACATTAAGAGGTAAAAATAGATAATATATAATTCCGTATGTCCAAAATTATAATTATACCATTGTGTCAGAATCAGGAAAATAAAATCCCTTTCTCCAATGATGTCCAACTCCATAGGATGTTTTGAATAGGTCATTATTGTTCAAACCACTCGGGAGATTTGGTAAATCACATAAATTAGACATTTTGTGGGTGATTTAGCTGTTAACGTCCAGCTAGGAGGTATCGTGTGCACCAGGAGTGTACGCAGTGTGGAGTATATGGGAGAGAACTAGAAAATTGACGAAAAAAGTGGTAAGACGACGATCTGAGAAAGCTAACAAAACAAACTTACATTCAGAAAGGACAGTAATAAACAATAATCAGTAATCAAGAAAGCTTCAGATTCAGACAATCTGGTAAGCAGAACTAGAGTTAGGAGACTTCAAACTACTGCGATACTCAGTTGTTATAACAACTGCTCTATTCAATATCCAATATCTTTTTCACGAGATAGTGTAAACCAATTGATTTTTTTGCTCTCGATTCTTGTTCTTTCGGTACGGTTCCAAGTGTTCGGTAATGTCCAATGGATGGAGGTCTAGCCACTCGACTGTCTAATTCTAGTCAGTTGGCAGTTGGTTGTGAGTTTGTATGTCTCGGGATTTGAATGAAAACGTTTGTTTCAGGGTAGTAGGGTTTCTGGATACCAGCAGCTATCACTTTACCAGACCGGAGATCAGTTAGTTGCAATTCAGAGAATAATATGGAGAAAACTCCTATCTTCTCTTTTGAAGATTGAAGAGAGTGTAGCTTGTTTCCATTCAGCTGGGAGTTGGTGTGACTCCAGTGGATGCCTGGACAGGTCACAAATCTGTAAACAGAGGGTTTCTACAAGTTGTTATAAGACTATAGGAAGAATATTGTCACACCCTGGCGGCCTTCCTGGATTTCCTTTGTACTAAGTCCGGAGTAAAACGGATATTCCCTAAACCGTCAGGCGGCACTGGGTTTTGAGTAGTACTCTGAACACATAAATGCCTGGTTTAAATGATCGGTGAAGTTTGTGTTGAAGATCTCAGCCATCTCTAGGTTTGTGTGAACTTCGCTAAATGGACCTATGAGGGAAAACAAACCCCGATTCGTAGGTTTTCTTGTTGTCATGAAACTAAACAGATGCCTAGGGTTTGCCTGGATATGGACTGTTAACTTCACCTGAAAGCGTTTCCTATCACTTTGAACTTCGGTATTGGATCTGTTTCTCGGTGCCAAGTAAGAACTACGATCGGAGGCCTTCGACTTGTGCCAGGCTCTCTTCGCCTATAGCAAGCTTTCAGTGCCGCGCCCAACATATGTCATTCTATTTCTGGGTGCATGCTGTGACTGAGGTTCAGCATTCCGGATGATGTCTCTGACTTTTTGCCTATGATCAGTTATTATCAGCCTCCACCATTATCGTGGCCATGAGGCATGTAGAAGAATCTCTCATGTGCGGAATTCGCTCCAGGGTAGCAGAGATAGGTCTCGTGTCCGTCCTGTGTGTTTTTTTGTGACCATATGGAACAAGACTCTGCCATTGTTATTAGATCCTATTAGTGTATGGACGCAAACATCTTCGACCAGAAGTTGATCATATTTTATTAAACAATCCAGGTTTGAGGATTTTCCCTCCACATTCCGTCTAGGGGCACTGAATACAAACTCACTGAGCTCAGAGCTCCTAATAGCTGTGCCAAGTCATCTTTGGAATCTGCCAGTGGGAGTTGTACACTTTGTTGGGATTTAGAGATGGGGTGTGAAGAGGATGTTGTCGGCGAATTGTGCAGAGTCTAGCGTTATCCTCATCGGAGATGGTTTCCACTTCACATTAACCCACTGATACGTATTTTTAACAGATACGGAGGGTCTAACAACAGCCGCCAGTTTTATCGGCGTGTCGGTTTGGGTTTTAGCTGATTTTTGAAGTCTGTTTCGGTGCCAGGCGATTTAGATTTATTCGTTGGAACTTTTGAGCTGATTTTGGATGGAGCCTGTGGCTTCGACAATGCCTCAGTTACTCTGCATGGTGTACAGATATATCAGAACCGCGGTCAGGGATAACTCAGTATGATCCCATAGTGCTCCCTAATTACTGTAGTGTCTCAGTGACAATGGACCCATGTACAACAGAAATTGCACTCAATATCCTATATATATATATATATATATATATATATATATATATATATATATATATATATATATATATATATATATATATATATATATATATATTTATAGGATATATACCCTATGGCTATCTTTCTCACGAGCAAGTATAAACCAAATAATTTATTTTAGCACAAATCTTGTTATTTCGTTACGGTTCCAGGTTTTTGGTAATGTCCTGTGGTTGTAGTCTATTCAATCGAATTCCACTTATTCTATCCACTTGGTAGTTATTTGTGAGTCTGGATGCCCAGGCATTTGAATGAGTATGGTTGTCGCAAGACAGTAGTGTAAGTTTTAGAGTGCATTTTGAATTTGGGAAAAACAGTTCTAGAAGTTTGGATACCCACCTTGCCCGGATATCCCAAAAAGAAAGCAATTTATCTGGGTAAGAAACGGTTCTATTATTATTCGAAAGGTACGTAGACAATGTTACAATGTTTTTCGTCAAAATCAACACAATGTGTTTCCAATTCTGAAAGAATGCTTCTGTACAGGTCCGAAATTGCATCCCTCCAGTCCAGCCTCACGTTTACCCGACAGGGTATCAATTCCGATATGGCTGAGTCCATAATTAAGTATCAATTTAAACAGCATAATACAGTTCAGTAGAAGACATAGAAACTCCAATAAAGGTACAAAAATAGAAACTATAACAAAATACGAATATTAACATCACAAAAGGGGATTAAACAGAGTACCAAAATACTGAACAGAAAGAGTCAGTCAGAACATATTACAAATATATGCATGGAGGGATTTTCCAAAACAAAGCTTTCAAAATGGATTCCACAAGTATGGTTTCTATATACCAGCGGGCTGGAAATCAGTTGCTTGCAATGTGGAGAAAATTCTAATGCTAGTAAGTGTATTTCAGAACTAAGTAAATGAATGATAAATAAGTTAATAATCCAAAATTCTGTCCTAAACAATGTATCTCATGCACACCATACACCGGAAAATAGGAGAACTTGGGTTAAACAAGGCAGTGGGTGCTTTGTATGGACGAAAGAGAGAGACTGAGGAAGTGGGAAGTCCGACCGTAGTTCCTACTGAGCATTGCGAAGCAGATGCAATGTAGAAGTTCGAAGGACAGGATACACTTCCTGTCTGTTGCAGACCAGTTGCTTGACTACCAACACTATCAAACGTAATGGAAGTGCTGGTAAACGAACACATAACGGAGTACATCGATAAGAATAAAATACTCCATGAAGCTGAAAACGGGTTTCGGAAAGACAGATCGTGCGCATCCAATCTTCTCATAGCATGGAACAGTTGGACATCGTACCGAGAGCGAAAAATACCCGTTCACATAATATTTATTGATTTTTAATAAGCATAGGACCATCTTAAGTCCACTTCTCCTCATGATATTTATTAACAACCTGTTAGGCTCAGCTAGCTCACCGGCAGTGATCTGCGCAGACGATGCGAAGGTCCGCTAGAAGCGAATAGTATTCGAGAGAACGTCAAAAGGACTTAACATCTATTGAGGAACAGTCAGTGAAAAACGGTTTTAAACAAAACCAACCGGAATGCCATGTCATGATCATTTTGCCCCACAAGACGCAAACGATTTACACCCTCAGTGGAAGTCCGCTCCCCCAATGTCTCCTCAGAATGTGATCTCGGTTTAATAACCACACCAGCTTGAAATATATAGGTGAGTCAGTCAAGGCTGACTCAACTCATCGACAGAGTATTGCCATCACACTGGAATCATTCTTAACGCTGTCTAAGACATATGCTTGCCCACACCTTAAGGACCGCATCGCAAGCCCTCCCCTGAAAATAGATATAAATCTCTCGGATTGAGTGCGGAGCCGAACAACGATATGGGCGATAGGGTTGAGGAATGAAACTTACGATGATGTACTCCAGCACTTGGGATTATCCTCCCTAAGTTACGGGAGAATCAGGGGTGATTTGATAATGGTGTACAACATATTAATCACACCAAATCATTCCAACGTGAGCATCCTGCAGGAAAATAAAAACCACGCCACTCTAGGTAATCATCGAAAAATTGCTCATCAGATAGCAAACACTCAGGTTCGTGCACACTTTTTCTCATTAAGAGTCGTTGCAACTTACAATGCTCTTTGAGCCAAGGCGACCACAGCCCCCCAGTGGGCAGCTTTGAGAAGAGACTTGATAAACACGTACTCACATACGGATTATCATCTCCCTCGTGGAGTGGCTGTGCCTGGAGCATTTCTTGAGACCTACCAGTTATTATTATTGATATCTCGCGAGATCAGGACTGAATCCTAACTAACAACTTATTCATTCTCTCCTGCTAATGGAGCATGGGCTGCAGACCAGTGGATTTTTTTCCTGGTGGTGTTTTGTTATTGAGTTAGATTTAAATGGTCTAGTATCGTGAACACCATGCTCAACTCTCCTCCTTTAACCGGATTTGGGACCAGTTGTAACTTTAGAAGGGCTGGGGTTTAATGCAGGTGTAACAGGCTTGCTCCTTCCTTGAAAGTTTATAACAAATGTTAGTTCTGGTCGCGGTTACCTTTGTCTCCTGTCTGATCGGTCTTTTGTAGGGAGAAATAGATGTACTAGCGTGAAGTGGTGGGTTTGTATGAGGTGGGGCCTTTGGCTCCTCTGCTGTTAACTTTTTTTGGCAATGGTTCTGCACTGTGGGAAAACATACCAGAGCCACTGACAGGGTTTACTTAGCGTGAACCCATACTCTACGCAAGCCACATTCAAATTCCGAACCTCCAGTATTAACTGGCAACTAGCAGGCAATATAATTATCCTCATATTGATTCAGAACAATAGGCTGTGTCATACGAATACTGGAACGCCCTTTTAAGGTATTTATTTCTCGTCTCCTGATCATACTAGCAGTATGAATCTGGCTTCTTTGTTGAAGATCGGATGTAGGTGTTTGGGTAGGGTGATATGAGTCATACACAGTACTCTGAGGTTCACTACCTAGCTACGTTTTGAGTTGTTACACAGTTTTGTTGATGGGCACCAGGATTTTTGGTTCACTAGTAGTTCCGTAATCCATACTTCTACTAGTTTTTCTAGTTATTATAGTATAAGGATTTGTAGCCATGCTGTTACTGAACATGTTACTTAATAGATTTAAGAACGGACAATGAGATAGTTTGAAGGGGAAAAATACGAGATATGAGTTTTGAGATAGGAAATATAAGAGCATTAAGATTGAGTGAATATATATTTTAAATAACTACAAATTTACCTTTGACCATCCGAGTAAGCAATTTGACGATTATCCAGTAACTTTTCCACCCGTTCTATTCCTTCAGATAAATGGATGTGCGTATGCTGTGGTCTCAATTTGGTTTGATTGAGTTCTCTCGACCTTTTACTTCGGTCGTCTACTAATGGATGGAGACAATTCATATTCTCAGGAATCTTTAAACGTCCTAATCTGATATCGAAAAATGGATTGTTTCATGGTAATGATGAGAGATCAGCTAAGACATGTCAGTCACCACTACAGATTTGATATCATTCTGAAACAGCAACAAACAAGAACAAATAAGTCAACTGGTTTATACAAGCTTGTCACATATATATTAGGTAACACATTGAAACTGCGGTCAGACTGCAAATTTATAGCGGTAAAACGACAGAGGCGCTACAGCTGACTTAGCACACTATCGAAAAATGAAAAGTGGTACTCAGCAACTTCCCGAAAATGACATGGGTCCCGTAGCGGCTTCAGATAAGCTTATAGATGGATCTCTCACCGAAAGCTCGAAGGATGCGGATGAGTTGGCATTGGAAGATATTCGTGATCAGATCCGATATATTGAAAAAGCTGTTATGACCAAAGAGGTTTATTATATGACACGAGTTGTACGTGGTCTATCAGGCATTCGTCGCCGACTTAATTGTAATGTTTTGAGAGGCCTAATGCAGGGTTACTTCCCGAATCCTTCTCCACAGAAAACGTATTTTTTAGAGTTTCTACCAGAGGTATGGTCTCAGTTTTGCTGGTAATTTTCAGGCTATGGATACTGACTGTCCGTTGTCGTCGTTCCGTCCTCGTGCTGGAAAGCTGAACACTCCATTGATACCTGAGGTGGAAGTATATTTGCATCTCCTCCTGGTAATGTACCTGATTGATGAAAACCACTTAGAAGAGGTAAGTTTACTTAAATTAGTCTTCATGGTTTGTTATTTTGTTTACTACACTTTTTAAGGCTAATCTGCTTAAGCCCCGAAAATATTTAATCCTCACCAGTTTTATAAACTTGTTATGGACACCCGAACTCATGTTTGTTCATGCAGTTACAATAAATCATGCACGTTAACTTGAAGCTTCTCACGTGACTTATAGATAGAAACCTTTTCAAACACCACACTGGGTCATTTTGTGTTATCCATGTAAGTGGGTTATCCTCGTTACTCGAAATGGCAGTAAACTCATCAGGATTGAAAAAATAAGACATTTTAATGCGTCACTGGGTTTTTAAATAACTCTGGTATGTTTCGGTACCTTTATTCTGTGGTTACGAGCGTACCTTTATTATTCAAAATGTAGTTTGGACACGCTAATATTAGTTTAAGAAGGCAAAAAATGTATACGTCAAATAAAAATGTTTAGAGGTGGGGAAAGAACAGTAAACATGACAAAGAAATCAATGGAAGTTAGTATATAAGAGTGAAATAATAGTGGAAGAAACAGTTCGATTCAGGAAAATAAAACCGTAAAGAATTTTAGTTGAATTAGTTGCTCTCATGTATATGACTACCACTAGGTTTTATACGGAGTCATGTCTATTAACGTCTCAGATCACTGAGTTGCACCATTTTTAGGGCCCCAACCATGGAGTCGTGAAAGACTAACGGATGCTAGTTCTACACACGTTCATTACCACAAAACCAGTTATATATTGACCACTCTGTGTAATGTATTTACTTATCCATTTGTTTGAAATTACGATAAGATGGAACTCCGAAATACTTGACGAATTCAAAATAATCATTTTATAAGGGAATAAGTGAAAAAGCTGAGTTCAAGTACCAATATGGAATACGATCCGGTGAAAGCAGGACCCATTTCACATTTTGTTCGTCGTAAAATAGCTTCTCAGTGTTTGACTTAATTATCTGTTGTGGTAATCGTCACAATTTATCAGAAAACAAGATTCTATTATAGACAAACTTATTTCATGTCACCTAATTATTCACTCTTTCCTTTTTATATGGCTTATACTCCTTCACATTACTATAATATGTAGCTCTTCATCATCTAAAATTTCTGTTGCATCTCAACGGATCTTAAAGTCTGAGAAGTATGATCCATTTGTGCTAATCTGAAGACTGTATCATTGGCTTCCTTGTTTGAATTGCAAAGCCCCTATCTTGGTTTGGAAATTTCTCAAATTAAAGACCAACTCATACTTGAGTATACGAACAAGGGTTTTTTAAATCTGTTCCACTAAACTGATCAGCTTTTGGTAATGATCAAATCAATATTTCATTGAGCATCAGAGAAAACGCATGAGTTGATTGGTCGCTTGTCTATAGTTTAAAGCTGGATGCTCCAGTTATAGTTAGAATCATCCGAAATAGGTGGATGAATGAAATCGGCTAACATAATACATTTCCCACTTCTTTTATGAAGAATGTAATAAAAAGCTACAGCAGCATCATTAAATTTGATTCTGAGCCATATTTCTGATAACTTGAACTACTGAATTGCACCGTTTCCACGACCTTCCAACCAGACAATCGTAATGGACCAATATATGTCAGTCATGTAGACCTATTTTTCATTCTATGCCTCCGTGTCGTACACACTAAAACTGGCCACCTAATCGCTCTTCTCACTCAATCCTAGAGTGGACAAGTCGTACACAGTATGGAAGATACAGATCGCTCACAATGACAGAACATGGCCAAGTTACCACATTTGCTGTCTCAACATGGTCATACTGATTGAATTGTTGTCATTTTCCCCAAATACATCTTACAGAACACCAGTATTGTTAACACGGTGTTGCTTCTAAATATCAGCAATCCTTTGGACACAACAATGGCCAAACACAAAGAGTCGCAGGCCACCCTCAACTTGGAGAGGCCAGGTTTCACAAGCAGTAAGACAGTAAAGACTACAAAAGGACATCGATTTTTACCCGTTTTCCCTCACATTGATGAAATCTAATCTAACAAGACAACTGATAATGGGGGTTAAATTGATGAATATTATAACTGTGCTTTAGTGCTTACTAAGAAATCAGTGCTAGCCAAACCGGAAGGATCTTCAGCTTCCAGCTGATAGATGGAGAACGAATTTCTAGTATTTCAATAGATTTTTGAATACTGGTCTCGGAAATACATTACAGGTCGATATTAAGAGATGCTTAAAAACAGCCGAACCTACCTGTTATCCGACTTGAAATAGTGTGCAAGCTTTAAAGAAGGCCAGTTTGAATAACATTCGTTGTTTCAAAAAAAGTGATTCAAAATCCCTATCTGATAGTATTATTCATAAATTTCATTTGGTCCATGGTTTATCTTCGTTTAGATTATAAAATTTGCACCGTACTTGAGCTGTGCCATTTGGAAGATAAGGGTAAACTGAGGATATCGACAAAACGGAATAGAAAAGTTGATCAAGATCAGACGAAACCACTTGAATTAAGTGGGTACTAATTACATGTTTAGTGAGTAAGGAAGCAAAATCAGTTCATTGTCGTATTTGCAAGCATCTTCGGATCTTATTCAGGAGCTCAAATCAAAGCAAATGGTTTTTTTCAGTAAGCCATTGACCGAGTCTTTGGCCCAGAGGTCTGGTCTTCAAGACTGTGAAGCAACGGCAGGAGATGCGATCCTATAGTATCAGGTGACCAAGAATAAATTCATACATCATTCAAACTCTTAGAATTTTTGAAGCCTATTTGCACTATTGGTTTGGGATCAGGGTTTTCCAACTGCCTCAGTTTAACCCTTTGTATCCGCCAATCCAGTTTGAGCTCGAGACATTTTTACTTTTAGTCACCTGACATCCATTAACAACACCCCTGTTGTGAAAAGACGGTGAATGGTAATTTCCTAGCAGTGGCTAAGGACGCATGACCATATGAAGAACGTTTCAAGAAAGCTAAGTTGACTCTCCTAACTGTCAGTTGTACCAGGACAATTGGCTTCTCATCCCCAACCGAGTGACAAAAAACGTTGTTTAATAGATATTGTTATACTTTCGGAGGACCTGTATTTCCGGTCTGAATGGTCCTTGGAATATTGTTCGTCATAAGTTAGCTTAGAGGAACCAACCATGGCTCACAGCTAATTACAGTCAATACTAGCATCATCGATTAGAATGTTTGACTTTCTTCCTCAACACCATTAAACCTTGACTTTAATGAATCATGTTACATCTAGCTACCGATATCAATCATTTGTACAAAACTATCAGTATTTGGAGCGTTTGTTGAAATTTCGATCTTGAGCTTTTGGCAGTCATCCGACCGAAGCTGCCACCTAGACGTGGTGGTCGGGCTTGACTATCGTGATGACCCAGCCGAGCTATACTGGCTGGAACATATGTTCTTGAAGGTTCTACCATGCCAGGCAGGTCGATTGGAGAACGATGAGACTAAAAGAAGCTATCCAAGGTCTGAGGGTGAAGTCGTACTGCTGACTGCAGAGGGGTGTGACAGCAGTAAGATGTTCCCCTCGGACAACAAGCATCTGCAGCGATGCTGCCTTCTCACAAGGAAGGAAGGGTTAGAAAAGGTCGACCCTAAAAATGTCACACCTCACCCTAACTCACAGATTTCCGTCTCCGGCGGTAAGGGTGCCCACTAAGGGCTTTTAAGAGTGGAGCTAATACTCAACAAACCTTTAGTAAAAAGGCCGTGCGTGACCAGCCTCAAGCAGTTGTCCCTTGGACTCTGCGGTCACGCTCTCAGGTCTCTAAGACCAACGCTAACCTATCTTCCTTTTCAGGTTCCTCAAGAAACAACCTTCGGTGTGGGCAGCCGGGAAGTGACAACCGCCCTCATACCCATGACCGCATTGGTCAAATCGGGGCATGACAACCTGAACTGATGTACTTACGTACGAAGTTCTGCGTTGTATATCTGTCTATCTGTCTTTTGGCAGTCAAATGCTTCACTGCACTTTGTATCCTCCTAACCAAGCGTTATTAATCTAGATTTAAAGCTTTATCAGCTCACCAGAAGATGTAGATAAGCAGTGTCATTCAGCAATACTAACTCTACTATCATGCCATATGTTACGTGTACTTACGTACGAAGTTCTACGTTGTAACTGACTGACTAATACATGTATCTCATTGTATACCAAAATTAAAATAATTTCTCATTTATACATTTCTACTAGGCATGTAAATGTTCCAACCTTTTAATGGATCGTTTAAGTGCCACTAATCGACGTTCTATGGCACTTCTTGCAAGTCGATGCTATTATTATCATAGTCGTAGTTATGAACTTGTTGGACGCTTAGAATCTGTACGATCATTTTTTCATGGTCGTTTATCAACTGCTACTCTTAGATCTGTAAGTTTTTTTTCAAAAAAAACAATTGTATTTTTAATGATTAAAGATTAACGGAACAATGGTACATTTGTATGTAAGCATAGTCAAAGAAGTGAATAAACTTACACTAATTAAACAGTAGTTATGTAATTTTTAAATCCAGTCACCAGATTAGCAACTTATCAATAATTTTTTAGGTTTTAGCAAGCCTTTTTTTCACATATCTATGGGGATATATTGGATTTAAAATAAGATGATCGTCTTGCTATTATCTGTACAGTCTTGTCATGATTCTATATATATTTATCAGTCGTTTTAAATTGATCAGATGTACACTTCTATTTGTTTTGTAATGTCAATTATCTTGTGAATACATTGTTTTTAGGGAAATATCATTCAAAGTATCAAGAATACCATAGTACATTGAATAATTTTTAAAGTAAATAAAGTAAGGTAAATTAAAATTTACAAAGGAGAATTAGACTACAAGAAATACTTCTTAACTGATGAGGTACGTCTGGTCCGGGATCTGACTCCAACCATTCACTAGTTGACTTATAATATACTGATGACATAGTTCTACTTGGTGAAGATGCTGACAAAATGTAGAATCTTATGACTACCCTAAGTAACAATACAAGCATGTTGGGGATGTGATTCTTCGCCTCGAAATGCAAAATGTTGCTTCAGGACTGGGTTGCGTCGGCACCTGAACTAGTGATAGGGATTGAAACAGTAGAGCGTGTTGACCACTTCACACTTCGGTTGCCCACGATCTCCAGCCATCCTGAATGGCAAGTCGATATAAGTCCTCCTAGTCTTTATGAAGTTGAGAAAGCATTAGGAAATCTGAAGCGAGGGCGAGCTGCAGGTCCTGATAGACTGACCCCTGAAATATTTAAGGATGGTGGTCCAGTTTTAGTAGCTAGGTTGACTAAGATCTTAGGTAGAATCTGGGAACTGGACGTAATCCCATCTGACTGGTCGCAATCCTTGATTGTCCCAATTTATAAGAAAGGACAAAAGTCCTCTTGTGACCATCACAGGGGAATCAGTCTAACTAATATAGTTTCTAAATTTTTAGCCTCGATTATACTTAGACGCCTTACTAGTGCTTGTGAAGAGCGAACTCGAGAAAACCAGGCTGGTTTTCGACCTGGACGTGGCTGTATAGACCACATTTTCACACTCAGACAGGTCCTGGAACAGAGACACACATTTAGGCGTCCGACAATAGTTGTGTTCCTGGACCTAAAAGCGGTATTTGACTCAGTGGATCGTGAGGTTCTGTGGCAGTGTCTGTCATTGAAAGGTGTGCCAAAGAAGTACATAAACCTTATATAGGCTCTCTACTCAAATACCACTGGTCGGGTGAAAGCCTATGGCGAACTGTCATTGGAATTCCCTACTTGAAGTGGCGTCCGTCAGGGATGTCCACTCTCTCCATTCTTGTTTAGTTTTCTCATAGACATGCTCCTAGATATAACCTTTCTACCAGGGAAATCGCTTATTAACCTAGAATATACCGATAACATAGTTCTATTCGGTGAAGACGCTGAAAAAGTGCAGAGTCTTCTGATTACCCTAAGCAACAATGCAAGCATGTTCGGGATGCGGTTTTCCCCCTCGAAATGCAAAGTGCTGCTTCAAGATTGGGTTGCATCGGCACCTGAACTAGTGATAGGGAGTGAAGTAGTCGAGCGTGTTGATCACTTCACTTATCTTGGGAGTCTCATCAGTGCTGACGGCCTGGTGACTGACGAAATCTGTCTGATTACTGCTAATACCTTTACGACCTCTTCTACTTTGGGATTAGATGTTAGTCAAGAAGGTATAAAGAAAAAAGACATTAGTATATTTATAGTTTTCTTTCATGAGAAGATTCTACAATGTTCTCTAAGTATCGGCTAGCGCTGATTGGTTACGGAAGAGCCAATCAGCGTGCAGCAACTCAATCATGCTTTAATCCAATCTGTGTCGCATTAACAAAAAGAGTTATCGTTCATTTGATTTGTTGTTCTTTTAATAATTTCTATTTTTAGAATTTCGATACTAAAGCTGTACTGATTAATTTGTTATTACGCAACTATTTACATTATCAATTACATGATCAAGCGCATAAACTTGTTTCACGTGTAGTATTCCCAGAAAATGCACCAAATAATGAATGGGCTAGATATTTGTATTATTTAGGTAAGTCGAATTAATATTTTACTGATTATGTGCATATATATACATATATATTTCAATTAGAGTTATGAAGATCAGTGTGTTTTGCTCATTGAAATCACCAACTAATCATCGTTAGACCACTATTAGAAATCTGGAAGCATTGAAAAATGGCCGTTTCGTCCTGATATAGGACTTATCAACAGTGTGCATCCGCGACTCTTGCTACTCTCAGGAATTGAACCCAAGACCTTCGTTTTTGGGCGCAAACACCTTAACCTCTGGACCACTGGGCCAGCATCTGACGGTGTTAATGTCTAATTCTGATCAATATCTAAGGGTTTTGCATAATCCAACCCATTTGTTTTCGGTAGTTACTGCCTACACCCGATAAGGTTGAACTCCACTGGTCATGTCGTGTCACTAGAATCCCGAGACTATCCTCACGAAGCTGGTCACTAGTGAGCACATTGACGTCCTGTACTTCCAGGTTTTTAATGGTGGTCTAACAACGATTGATTGATAGTTTCAATGTGTACGTTTTTTGTTGCTAGTGGATATTTTAATTTGTATCGACTGAAGGCACTACTACTACTACATTTACCAGGAGAATTTCAAAAAGTTTGAACAATTGTGACACTGTGAATATTTTGTCGTTGTGAAATTTTAATATGCGATAAGAAAAGATGTAAACTTATTTTATGGTGGGATTTTACGCTAAAGATGTTTATATACTGTCCAACTGTCTGTCAGCCTCAGTCAGTTGTAATGTAGACCTGTAATGCTTGACAATTGATATGCTTGAAACTATTACGCGTGTTCACCTCAGTCGATAAACGTGAGCGAAGACAATATGATCCAGTGACATGATAAGCTACTCTAATCCTATCGTCCTAAGTTCCCACACTAACGGTATCAAAAAGTCTTGATATGGCGTAGAAAGTGTATTTTCTACATGCATCCAGAAAATATGAGGTTTTGTACAGAAGAAGAATAAAAGGAGCATAACACTTTACAGACAATCCATATTTATACAATTAGGTCGACCGTGAATACTAACTTCAATAGGAAAGAACATTTAAAAGAGTATGTGAACTTGAAGATAGTTTAAGACGATCTTAAATATTGACCGACAGGCATTGACTAATAGACTTAGTTAGACTTAAGAAATAATTTCTTTGGGATATTTGATGAATATCCTAACAAGACTTTGATACGTATGTACATCGAGTTAAGTTGATATGAGCTATATTAACCACAGAGAGATGAAATTATCAGTTAGTAGTAGAAGTAGTTACAGTATTATTGCATGTAGTGTTACACACTTTCTAAAGGGTAGACAGACAGACAGATACAACGCAGAACTTCGTACGTAAGTACATCAGTTCAGGTTGCCATGCCCCATCAGCACAGAGACGCAACTGTCATTTCAAATCCAAAAGTCATAGCAATAACAGAAGTATTAGCAGTAATGGAGAAGATTAGGGAGCGAAGATATGATTCGAGAAGTATAATTCAGTAAGATAAATTTAGAAGAAGACAGGTAGAGGTGTTGAAAAATCCAGAAGATTAGGATTTCAGTGAACACAAACAGTGGATGCACCTTCGTCAATGCAAACGATTCTGAGCTATGTAATTCAAGGACTCTAACCATTGGTGACTTTGATCTTGCAGACCCGAACCGCGTAGTCGACAACTACCAACATGGCTAAGTCCACTTGTCAATGTCTTCATGCATTTCTGCCACATTTTGGATTGGCCACCCCTAGCTTTCTTCCAATCTACTCCTACACTGCAAAACATAACTCGTCGCGACAGTTGGTGGTTAGGCATACGTAACACATATCCCAACCACCTCAACTGATGAAGTTTCACTACTTCATCTATTGATTTGCATTCCCTACCTAGTACTTTTTTCCTAATGACAGCATTGCTTATACGGTTGTCCCATGATACACGAGCAATGCTTCGGAGACATCGGTGATCGAAGCATTGCTGTCTCCGAAGCATTGTTCGTGTATCATGTGACAACCGTATAGGGTAACTACTAAACTATTCGTATTCAATTAAATTATAATGGAGAATTTTATTAAATATGATGTAAATAGCATGATAATAACCTGCAAAGATTCACTTTATATCATAAATATCTGTTATTTTTTCAATCATATTTAAGTAAGTTACAAAAAAACAGATTAACTATTTTAGATAAAACTCCCCAAAAGGTCATTTTTTCAAACTTTAATTAACTGATACTAATTGGCTGTACAAATTAAGAAATAAAGTGTATTTAAAACATATGATCTGTTGAATGAAAGTCAAATGTTTTAATCAGTGTAAGGCTACTCTACTGTGCACTAGTTTACATGTACTAAACTATATCAGTCAACCAGCTACAACATAGATATTATCACGTACGTACATCAGTTCAAGTTGCCATACCAAATTCTAATCTGAAATCCCCCTAACGTTTATCTTTCTCATATCAAATCTACTTTTTTGAGTTATACTTGATTAATATCTTCGAACAGTGATCTTTTCGATTATTGCTCATACTTCTACTATTGTAGTGAAGGAGAACACAGGTGAGGGCAACCGAATTGTATTTAACGAAAATTACAGAGTTACTCAGTAAAATAGGAAAACCATATCGTAAATGGTTAATTTGCAAATCTTCAATGCATCATCAATCCATTGTCTGGAATTTCAACATTCATGCGTTTCATACAAATTCCGTTGTGTTCTAACTCTTCCATTCTTGATCTTCCCCTATCTTCTGCTGCCTGACATTACGTTTACACTCGCGTCATATACTACTTATAAGTAGCGCGCACCACAGTGGTAGAGGTAGTATAGAAGTATAAGTAGTAATCGAAAAGATTAGGCTTCTAAAATATTATTTGAGGTATAATCCAGTGAAAGAAATTCGAAAAGAGAAAGATGGAAGTGATGATTAATTTATAAGATTAGAATTAGAGAAGACACAAATCGTGGATGCACCTGCTCCATTGCAAACGATTTCGAGCTATGTTATTGCAAGTCACCAGCCATTATTACTCTGACATAGTAATAATGGCTGGTGACTTTAATGCTCAAGTAGGTAGACTAAGTGAGCAGGAGAGACACCTAGGTGGATGTTATGGTGTAGCGACTGAGAGAACAGATAATGGCGACCGTCTGTTGCAACTGTGCTCAGATAACCGCCTATTCTTAGCAAACACCAACTTTAGGCATAAGGAAAAGCATCTGTTGACCTGGCGACCTCCAAAGTCGTCTCAACGTTGGACTCAACTAGATCACATCGCCATCAGCCACCGATGGAGGGGTTCGATAGAAGACTGTCGCTCGTTCTGGGGCACATGTTTGGATTCAGATCATGCTCTAGTGCGAGCTCGTATCTGTTTAAGGCTTACTGGACGTAGGAAAGACACCGTAAGAAAGCCTCTTAGGGTTTTACCTAATGATAATCAAACCAAGAAAATATTTCAGGAGCTACTAGAAAGAGAGTTAAGCAACCATGCAAGCGATTCCCATCCAGAAGCAGGTTGGTATGATATCAAAAAGGCTGTGGAAACAGCAGTGATATCTGCTAGTAAGGTAAACCTTGAGGCTAGGATGAAGCCGTGGATTTCAGTAGCATCCACCGAACTGATGGATGCTCGAAAACGCATCCCACCTGACTCTGAGCATGATGAAGAGCGTAGTCAGCTTAGGCGCAGACTTATAAAAAGTCTGCGCAACGACCGCGAACAGTGGTGGGTGGCGAAAGCAAAAGCGATGGAAAAGGCAGCGGCGATCGGCAACACTAGACAACTTTTCCGCCTTATTAAAGAAACCGGTATTAAGAACCCGAATGTGAGTGAGACTATCTCGGAAAAGGATGGTCTTATTATCCATTCTCAATCCAGGAGACTGGATCGATGGGCAGAACACTTTAGGGATCAGTTCAACTGGCCACGAGCCACTCTTCAGTTACCCACGATCTCCAGTCATCCTGAATGGCAAATCAACGTAAGTCCCCCTAGTCTTAATGACGTTGAGAAAGCGTTAGGAAATCTGAAAAGAGGACGAGCTGCAGGTCCTGATAGACTGACCCCTGAGATATTTAAGGATGGTGGTCCAGTTTTAGCAGCTAGATTGACTGAGATCTTAGGTAAAATCTGGGAACTGGACGTAATCCCATCCGACTGGTCTCAATCCTTGATTGTCCCAATCTATAAGAAAGGACAAAAGTCTTCTTGTGACAATCACAGGGGAATAAGTCTAACTAATATAGTATCTAAAATATTGGCCTCAATAATACTTCGACGCTTAACGAAAGCTCGTGAAGAGCATACTCGAGAAAACCAGGCTGGTTTTCGACCTGGACGTGGTTGTATAGACCACATCTTCACACTCAGACAGGTCCTGGAACATAGACACACATTTAGGCGTCCTACAATAGTTGTTTTCCTAGACATTAAGGCGGCATTTGACTCTGTTGATCGTAAGGTTCTGTGGCAGTGTCTGTCATTGAAAGGTGTACCACAGAAGTACATTAACCTTATACAAGCTCTTTACTCGAACACCACTGGTCGGGTGAGGGCTTATGGCGAACTGTCACCGGAATTCTCTACATCAAGTGGTGTCCGTCAGGGATGTCCACTTTCTCCATTCTTGTTTAATTTTATCATAGACATGCTCCTAGAGTTAACATTATCCTCGTCAGAATTTTCAGGAGTAGACCTTCTTCCAGGTGGCTCGCTTATTGACTTAGAATATGCCGATGACATAGTCCTACTTGGTGAAGACGCTGACAAAATGCAGAGTCTTCTGACTACCCTAAGCAACAATGCAAGCATGTTCGGGATGCGGTTTTCCCCCTCGAAATGCAAAATGTTGCTTCAAGACTGGGTTGCATCGGCACCTGAACTAGTGATAGGGAGTGAAGTAGTCGAACGTGTAGACCGCTTCACTTATCTTGGGAGTCTCATCAGTGCCGATGGCCTGGTGACTGACGAAATCTCAGCACGGATACAGAAGGCTCGATTGGCTTTTGCCAACCTGCGTCACTTATGGCGTAGGCGAGATATCCGTTTGCTGACTAAAGGACGAGTGTACTGCGCAGTAGTTCGCTCCGTCTTACTTTATGGCTGTGAAACATGGCCGTTAAGAGTAGAAGATGTTCGTAGGTTACTAGTATTCGATCATAGATGTTTAAGAAGCATTGCTCGTATATCGTGGGACAGCCGAGTGAGCAACGCTGTTATTAGGAATCGGGTGCTAGGTAAGAATGGCAGATCAATCGATGAAGTATTGAAACTTCACCAGTTGAGGTGGTTGGGACATGTGTTGCGTATGCCGAACCACCGGCTGCCTCGTCGAGCCTTGTTTTGTAGTGTGGGAATAGGTTGGAAGAAAGTTAGGGGCGGCCAAACCAAAACATGGCAGAAATCCATGAAGTCACTGACAAGTGGACTTAGCCATGTCGGTAATTGTCGACTACCTGGTTGGGGTCCGCGAGATGATAATAATCGATGGTTAGAGACCTTGAATGACATGGCTCAAAATCGTTCGCAATGGTGCCAGTGCATTTATTCTTTGTGTTCCCTCAAATGCTAATCTTCTGGATTCTTCAACCCCTCTAGTTTCGACTCTCTTAACTTATCTCACTGAATCATACTTCTTGAGTAGTATCTTCTAATCCTAACCTCTCCGATTATTTCTAATTCCCTTACTACCTCTTCTACTATTGGATTTGAATTGACGATTACTTCTCTGTGCTGATGTGGTATGGCAACATGAACTGATGTACTTATGTACAAAGTTCTACGTTGCATCTGACTGATCTGACTTGGCATGGACGTAAACACGTCATTTTGATATGCTTGAACTATTACGATCGAGGATTTGGCGACACGACATGCTACTCTAATCCGATTGTCCCAATCCCCATTGAATAAAAGAAGAAGATTTGATATGAAGTAGAACATGTATTCTACAAGCATCCAGAAAGTACGAGGTTCGAGTACAGAAGAGAATCAGGATCCCGGACTAGAGATCCAGGTCCGGGTCATAAAACGTTATGGATAATGCGTATTCATACAGTTAGGTCGAATAGGGAACAACATTTGAAGTATGTGACATTGATAGTTAGGACGACCGATAGAATTCGACTTACAATATTTGATGAACATCCTAGCTCAGATCGGATACAGAAGGCTCGATTGGCTTTTGCCAACCTGCGTTACCTATGGCGCAGGCGAGATATCCGTTTGCTGACTAAAGGACGAGTGTACTTTGCAGCAGTTCGCTCCGTCCTACTGTACGGATGCGAGACTTGATCGTTAAGAGTAGAGGACTTACGTAGGTTACTAGTATTTGATCATCGATGTCTCCGAAGCATTGTTCGTGTATCATGGGACAACCGTGTAAGCAATGCTATCGTTAGGAAAAGAGTTCTAGGTAGGGATGGCAAATCAATAGATGAAGTAGTGAAACTTCATCAGTTGAGGTGACTGGGACATGTGTTAAGTATGCCGAACCACCGACTCTCTCGACGAGCTATGTTTTGCGGTGTAGGAGTAGGTTGGAAGAAAGTTAGGGGCGGCCAAACCAAAACATGGCAGAAATCCATGAAGTCATTGACAATTGGACTGAGTCATGTTGTTAGATGTAGGCTACCTGTTTGGGGTCTGCGAGACGATAATCACCGATGGTTAGAGACCTTGAACGACATGGCTCAGAATCGTTTGCAATGGCGCAGATGCATCCACTCTTTGTGTTCTCTCTAATTTTGACCTTATGAATTCTTCATCATCTTTACCGTTCTCCTTCTAAATTTATCTTACTGAATTATACTTCTCGAATCATATCTTCGCTCATTAATCTTCTCCATTACTTCTAATACTTCTATTATCACTATCACTCTTGGATTTAAACTGACAGTTGCGTCTCTGTGCTAATGTGGTATGGCAACCTGAACTGATGTACTTACGTATTAAGTTTTGCGTTGTATCTGTCTGTTCTAGCAAAATCTCTAACTATCGCTTACTATTGTCTCGTGGACCGCATTAAAACTATATCAATGCCAATTGACAAATATCAATGCTCTTAAAACTTATTCAATGTTCAATAATCGTTTTTTTTAAATTTTTGTATTTGTTTATATAAATCGCTTATCTTTGATGCATATATATGTACACATACCATTATAGGTCGAATCAAAGCAATCCAACTGGATTATTCAGCAGCGCATGAACATTTAATTTCTGCGCTACGTAAAGCACCACAACATACAGCTATTGGTTTTAAACAAGCATTGCATAAATTAAATACAGTTGTAGAATTATTATTAGGTGAACAACCGGATCGTTCAATATTTCGTCAAGCATCATTTAAAGCCGCATTACAACCATATTTCCAGTTGACTCAAGCAATTCATGCTGGTGATTTATCACGATTCAACGATACACTCAGAATACATGGTGCACAATTTTCCGCTGATAAAATGTATACACTTATAATTCGTTTACGTCATAACGTGATTAAAACTGGTGTACGACGTATATCATTGAGTTATTCACGTATTTCTTTAGTAGATGTTGCTAAAAAACTTCAGTTAGATAGTGTTGAAGATGCAGAATATATAGTTGCAAAGGTAAGGAGTTTATTCCCTAATAAAATGTTCACATTTCTGTTTAAGATAACCATATCTAATTCTGTACATATTGGATTTCATTGTGAAACTGTGCCTGTAGAGAGACCCATCGGGGCTACTGCTGGTCCTAAGCCTGGATAAAGGAGGAGGGTTGGGATTGGGGTTGGTGACCCCCAACTAACTCTCTAAAAAAACGCTAACATGAACAAATAATTCGAACCATATAAACCCTGCTCTGAGAGTTTGAAAGTCTTCATTTAGAAGAATTATGACTTCTCATGATGAAAGCCGAGTTCCTTCGGAAGTCACGAGACTGATGCCCCGTCTGACAATTAGAACCCTTCCACGTTTATGGGCAGGCGGGAAGTAACATCCGCTCTCATATCCATAAAATCTAGTGAAGTAAACTTGAAAAGATAAAGGTGAAGGGGGACTCAGAAGATTCGGATTTGAGAGAACACAAAGCATAAATGCACCGGCGCCATTGCAGACGATTTTGAGCCATGTCATTCGAGGTCTCTAACCATCGATTATTATCATCTCGCGAACCACAACCATGTAGTCGACACCCAACGACATGACTCAGTCCATTTGTCAGTGACTTCATGCATCTCTGCCATGTTTTGATTTGGCCACTCCTAGCTTTCGTCCGACCTTTTTCTATATCGCAAAACATAGCTCTACAAGGCAGTCGGTGGTTAGGCATACGTAACACATGTCCCAACCACCTCAACTGATAAAGTTTCAATACTTCATCTATTGACTTGCCACCCTTACCTAGGACCCGTTGCTTAACAACCATTGCTTACTCGGTTGTCCCAGGATACACAAGCAATGTTTCACAGCCGTAAAGTAGGACGGAGAGAACTACTGCACAGTATACGTACTTTGGCTAGCAAAGGGATATCTCGCCTATTCCATAAATGACGCAAGTCAGCAAAAGCCAATCGGGCCTTTTGTATCTGTGCTGAGATTTTGTCAAACACAAGACCATCAGCACGAATGAGACTACTTCACTCCCTATCACTAATTCAGATGCCGATGCCAATCCTGAAGCAATAGTTTGCATTTCGAATGGGGAGAACCGCATCCCGAACATGCTTGCATTGTTGCTTAGAGTGTATACTTTTGCTCTCGTACACCTTTTTGTGTCATAGCCCAGTGAATCATTACATGATTACTTTTTATCTGACTACTGTTCGGTACAGAAAATCAGGCTGATTTAAATTTGTAATGTATCTATTAAATTCAATTGAGTGGCGTTAATACTGAACCAATCTTTTTTTTATAACCGTAAGATCAAGATAAGTTTTGTTGTTTAGGAATAAAGAGTAAAATAAATTAGTTGATGGAAATGTTTCTTTTACTAGCTAAACTACTTCACAATTACTGACTCCAATGTGATGAACTAGTCTACTTACTTATACATTCCTCTTCTGTGCCTGCCAACTATATGGTGAGTCGTGGATGCGCACTGCTGAGGAGTCCCATACCAGGACGAAACGGCCGTTCAGTGCTTCCAGGTTTCTACTGGTCGATTCATGGTTTCAAAAAATGTATAGAGAAGTCTTGTTGATCAAGATTACTGAAGAATGATTTTCTTAATGTACAATAAAATAACAACCTACATACAAACTATTTTAGGAATGTTAGCTCCGCTCTTCAAAAAAGGCCCTACAACCGGAAACAGAAATTCATGGGGTAAGGTGAGGTGTGGCATTTCTTTTATTGTCGACCTTTTCTAACCCCCCTACCTTCCGTTTTGAGAAGGCAGCATTACTTCAGATGATGGTTGTCCGAAGCAAACACCTTACTGCCGTTACACCTCTTCACAGTCAACAGTTACTTCGCCCTCAGACCTTAAGTCTCTACTTTCAATCTTTCTGTTCTCCAGTCGACCTGCCTCGCATGGTAGAACCTAAAGAAACATATTTCCCAGCCAGTATAGTTCGTTTAGGTCATCACAATAGGCAAACCCGACCACAACGTCATGGTAGCAGCTACACTATGGCAACCTGAACTGATGTACGTACGTGTGTATGTATGAAGTTCTACATTGTAGCTGACTAACAATATAATAATTAGTGTTTTAACAGTTCTAACATCCATTCATATGTGGTTTGAATGTTAATCATTTTTCACTGTGTTATCCAATCAACTGTCATCACTACTTTCAGGCTATTCGTGATGGTGTGATTGATGCAATAATTAATCATGAAAAAAGTTATGTCACTACTAATGAAACATTAGATTTATATTCAACACGTGAACCTTTCAATCAATTTCATCAACGTATTAAATTTTGTTTAAGTATACATAATCAAGCAGTGAAAGCAATGCGTTATCCACCGAAACAATATTCAAAAGATATTGAATCTGCTGAAGTAAGTTGTTATTATGATTATTATTATTATTTTCAATTTTTATGTGTCTCTTTGCTTTAAATGAGCTATTTTCAAAGCATACCATTTCATTTTAGCCGTTCCTGATCTTGTTTGTCATTCACTATAGACATACTCTACTATACCAATGAATTCAATTGAATGAATTGCAATGATTGGGGCATCAGACCGCCGATCATGAGTAGTCACTGAACAACTAACTGTCTGAGACTCTCCTTTGGAGTTGTTCTAATCGTGATCTTGAAGTATTCTCGCCTCCAACTCCTAGCTCCATGTGTTGTTTGATCTGATACTTCTTGTCCTTGCCTTGGTGATTACAAGTAAAGGCTGAAGTTTGACAGCTTCCACAAAGTGTTTGTTTTAAGCCATCCTCAGTGACTTCTTAATTAATCCCTTCAACTACCAACTAGTTTGTTTTTTTTTTGCCTGAATTAGGATATTTTGACGGTGGTTTTGGTAGTTGAAGCTTTAGCTCTATACAATAAATAAGACCAGTCCTAATGTTGAGTGTAATTTGTTTTTGAGTTCAAGATGATATCCTTTAATTGTGTAAGAATTCTGCTCTTGCATTATCGATTAGTGTCTTTATATATCAGCAGCATCTACAGTAAGCAGTAGGTCTCAACATACATAAAGGAAAAAGTAAGATTCTGTGAGACAACACAACATGCGCCAACCAAATCACTCTTGATGGAGATGCCTTGGAGAACGTTAACACCTTTACATATCTTCGCAGCATCATCGACAGCCAAGGTGGATCCGATGCAGATATGAGGGTGCGGATTGGCAGTCAAGACAGTTCTACTGTACGGAGCGAAAACTTGGAGAACTACGAAAGGCATCATCCATAAGATACAAGTGTTTATGAACAGTTGTCTACGCAAAATACTTCGGATCCGTTGGCCAGACACCATCAGAAACAACGTGCTGTGGGAAACAACAAACCAGATTGCAGTGGAGTAGAAAATCAGGAAGAAGCGCTGTAAGTAGATAGGACACACACTGAGAAAAGCACCTAACTGCGTCACGAGACAAGCCCTTACATGGAACCCTCGAGGCAAAAGGAAGAGAGGAAGGCCAAGGAACACATTACGCCGAGAAATAGAGAAAGATATGAGAGGAATGAACAAAAATTGAACAGAACTGGAAAGGGAAGCCCAGGACAGAGTTGGTTGGAGAAAAGTGATGGTTGGCCTATGCTCCATTGGGGGGTAACAGGCGTAAGTAAGTAAGTCTTTATATTTGCATCAGATCCTTCCTGTATATTGGTAATGCTACGCAGATACAAGAAGACTTCTACCTCTTCCACAGCGTCTCTGTCAAATGTGATTTATTTGGTATTCGTTGTGTCGTGATTCATGATCTTTCTTCCCCCGTGGGAATGTTGAGACTTGTCGATAGAGAGGTTGCTGCTATGCTGGCTGTCATTCCCTGCATTCCTTGGTGCGTATGCGATAGCGTGCCTAAGTCATCTACTTGTGAGTCCAAAGTAGCCACTTTACTCCAGATTTCTCCTGAAATAAGCTGGTGCTTGTAACTCACTCAATAAACAGACGAAAAAGAAAGGGCAAGAGTACCAGTCTGGTATGCTCGGAACTATTACCTACTCACCTTACTCGGTAAACGGAACAAAGCTCGGCGATACAGTAACACGATAGGCTATTCCAATATGTTTGTCGCCAGCCATACTAACTAGATTAAGCAGTTTTAATAAGTAGTAGAGGATGTATTCTACAAGCACCCAGAAAATACGAGGTCTAAGCACACACACACACACATCAAGCTTATTTATACAAATATAGAAACACCCTTAGGATAGCCACAAAAACAGCGTACTAAAATAATCCGTCAACCAATGACAGTCAAAGATTTTACGAGTGAGAAATGTAAGCTGAAGGTCAACTGGCGCGAAAACATAGAAATTAGAAAAATTTCAGAATAAAATGACGAAATTGCGATCTTCCTAAGTGAGTTCTGAGGATCTACGTCCCTAACATAGTCTCCACTGAGAAAACATATCTGTGAGCTCTACTCCGTGCATGACCATGTAGTTAGGTTAAAAAAAGACCATTGGGAATGACTGAAAAGTCTCTTATCATACATTTCTTATAGTTTTAAACCTTTAATTTTTTTTGTCAGTGACGAATATGTTTAAATCTTTATTTAGTCTAGTCAAAAGAACGAAGGTTGTTTATTCATGTAGTCAATAGTGTTGTTACAAGTCTCAGTTTATTCAAGTTTCAAATCATGCTTGTTCAAAGACAAGTTTTCATTCGTTGGAATTCAATCAGTTCATGTTTATCAATAAATTTTAGTTCAACTTAATTCATCAAACTAACCCAAATTAAATTCAAGTTTCAACAATTTGAACAATTAAAACAATTGTTCTCTAATTCATCCATTTTAAAATATTTACTAGTTGAAAGTATGTGTTTTGTTCGATGTTGAAAAATAATTCTCTCTTGACAGTAGAAAAAAAAACTATCATAACTCAGTTGATCTTGTATATTATTTATAACAACTGCAATTATTGAAATCATGAACTAATCCATTGTTAGACTATTATTAGGAACCTGAAAGCCTTGGGCGATCGTTTCATCGTGGTGCTATGGGATTTATCAACACTGGGTGTCCACATCTCTTGCTACTCGCAAGAATCGGACCGAAGACCTTTGGACTTGCACGCGAACGCTTAACCTCTGGACTGATGAGCCGGACGGCATCCAACGGTGTTAATGTTTAACTTTGACCAATTTAAGGTTTTGTGCAAAATCACCCATTGTCCTCAGTGAACAATGCTTCACTCCTGTTGTAACGCTTGCTTAAATAATTCCCAGCTAATTCCTATTGCTTAGTGTATTCTCTGACCACAATGCACACTGGACAAGTTCCAAAGAAATCAAAAACACGGTGGAACAGGAAAAGATTATACTTCAAAATAGCAAGGTTAAATGGGGAATACGAAGCCGAATGCGAAACAGATACAACGTTAGTTTCTTTATAGTATTTACATGAGAAGCTTCTGGATAGTAATTCACGTGATAGACTGAATTAGATTTAGCCAATCAGCGTGCAGTTAACAACACGAGAAATTTCTACCCTGTTCTCTCCAAGAATCGATCAGGCGCTGACTGGATAGGAAATTAACCAATCAGCGCGTAGCAGCGTAGTCATGCTTTAATTCCATCCATGTCGCACTAGCACCTCCCATTTGAGAAGATTCGTAGGACCTGGTGCTAGTGTCCTGCTTCCTAGGTGCCTTGCCACCCGTACTCTAACGATTCGCCTGCTTTGTAGGAGCCAAATCTTTAAACAACCGTCGATTGGGCTGCTTCCCCATCGATAAGTTTTGTTGAGGCTCATGAACAGCATATGTTATAGGGCGTGTCGGACGTGAAACAGGGTTGGCTCCAGCTTTCATATTCGTATAGAGGCCAAGGCTATTCTGAGAAACAGAGGCTGACTTCTTCTTCCGTTTACTTTGTAGCCTTTCACCTGTCTTCTTTGTAAGTATCGGGGTGTCCAATGATGAACACGACACGCTGCAGACACTGTTAATGGGTAAATCCATTATTCCCAGTTTTTCTAGCATATCTAGACCACGAAAATCAAGGTTTGGCCGTTCTGTCACATAACACATACCTGTACACTTTGTTCCGTTGAATGGGAATTCACACTGGAACTCACCAACCAGTTTTACCACACTACCTGAAGCGCTTTTAGCTGTTTTCTTAGATGGCTTCATTGGCGGTTTTCCCCAGCAAGTTATACGTTTCTCTAGACACTAAGGTGATATCTGATACCGTGTAGATTTGAAAATGAGCTGATGCCCCGTTCATCTGGATAGTAACATACTTTCTCCGAACGTCATAGTCTGTTTGAAAAGCAGCTACCAGAGAAAGTGATTTAGACTCGGCTAATTTCACCATATGTCGAGTACGTTTATGCTTCTTCCTGGGTTGAGACGTACTATTCGGTTGACAATGGCCTTTTTTATGTCTACGTTTGTTGCACATCTTGCAGGTGACAACACGAGAATTTTCTACCCTGTTCACCAAGAATCGATAAGGCGCTGACTGGATAGAAGATTGGCCAATCAGCGCGCAGCAGCGTAGTCATGCTTTAATTCCATCTATGTCCCACTAACAATTCCTGAACAGGGTTGAACTCTACTGGTCACAACTTCTCACTAGAACTCAGAGTAGATTCCTCATGGAACTAGTCACTAGTGAGCGAGGTAATTTACAGTACGGGGTTTGTGGAGATTGTTGAGTTACTTTTTGAAATCATGAATCGATCAACGTTAGACCATCATTAGAAACCTGGACGGCTGTTTCGTTCTAGTATGGAATTCATCAGCTGATTGATGAGTTATTATGACAAAATAACTACTACACTAATCAGTTTTTCCATGCTCAATCGAAGTGTTGTTTTTATGTATTTCTTTATTTCTAAAGGAACGTCGTGAACGTGAACAACAAGAACTTGAAAATGCAAAAGAATTATCTGAAGATGAATTCGATGGATTTCCATAAATTTTAATATTCATTAATATTATTATTATTAATGAAGAATATGGTTTTTATATATATAGTCAATGGTTTAACGATTCATTGTTTTGTATTCAATACTGTTGTTTTTGTGAAGTATATATCTATCTATATATACATATATATACATAAATATATGGAAGTTGTATAATCCCATTGTTTCATAATCCTATAGCCAATAATATCATGTCATCATTGAGACAGTCGTTTGTAATTTGACAGTTCTTTTTTTTCTATAAATGTTGTTCATTCGAAGTTATTAGTTAATTGGGTTGTAACAGTCGTTTGAGAATGCTAAAATCAATACGATCCTGTTTTATTCCACAGCACTAAGTCATAAACTGATCAGCTTTACTTTGCTACTCTTCTTCACTGTTGACAAGATTGGCCACAGTAAGCGAGCCACTAATTATTTATAGAACATGACCAAGTTACATTATAACTTATTGCGAAAAATGAGTTACAACATGACTAAGTGATCACTACATATGCGAGTGGTCGTATTTCAAATTTAAGACGAAATGAGCGTACCAGAACTGAAGGACACAGTCTGTTCACAACGGTCAAATTTCACATGCGTAAACTATGAATGTTAGCAGCAAAAGCGGTGATTATGTAGGGATGAATATAATCTTACCCTGTAAACCCACCTTAATTTTTCTAACAACAAGATTCTGTGCACTATATTATCGATATCAGTTCAAACTGACCGGTTGAATATAAAGAATCGTGATTATTAGAGTCAAGCTGTCTGTATTTTCCATATCAAGCGATAGGAGATCTATAAATAATACCTGTTTATCAGTCAGTTACAACGTAGAACTTTGTACGTAAGTACATCAGTTCATGCTGCCATACCACATATAGTACAGAGACGCAATTGTTAATTCAAATCCTATAGTGCTAGAGATAGTAGAAGAATTACTGCTAATGGAGTCGTAATGCTGACTGCAGTGGGGTGTGATAGCAGTAAGGTGTTTCCCTCGGACAACCAGCATCTGCAGCGATGCTGCCTTCTCACAAGGAAGGAAGGGTTAGAACAGATCGACCCTAAGCATATCTCACCTTACCTCACGGATTTCCATGAGGTAAGGGTGCCCAGTAAGGGCTCTAAAAAGAGCGGAGCTAATACTCAAAAATCCTTTCATAAATAGGCCGTGCGTGACCGGCCTCAAGCAGTTGTCCTTTGGACTCTGCGGTCACGCTCCCAGGTCTCTAAGTCCGACACTAATCTACTTTTCAGGTTCCTCAAGAAACACCCTTCCACGGTGTAGGCAGCCGGTAAGTGACAACCGCCCTCATACCCGTAACAGCACGCAAATATCTGTTTATCAAGTATACTGGTTTGTGATTCGGATTAGGTTATGTTTGTGTCGTGACTTGTATCTAATATGATATAAACTGCCTGGATTTTCTCCGCATTTCAAGGCTTAGTTGTAGATTTTATAAAATTTAAAAGCTTATTTGTGAGTGAATATTTCAGCGCCTAACAACAGCTCAAGAAAACCAGGTTGATCCCAGACCTGGATGTGGATGTATGTATCGAATACCCACTCTTCAGCAGATCCCAGAACATAGCTTCACATTCCGGCGTCCGACAATAGTTGTATTTATCAACTTTAAGGCGGCATTTGACTCCGTCGATTATGAGGTTCTGTGACAGTGTCTGTCATTAAGAGGTGTACCAAATAAGTACAATAACCTTGTGCAAGCTCTCTGTTTGAGCATTACTGATTAAGTTACAGCATATGGCGAACTGTCACTGGAATTGATTACTTGAAGTGGTTTTCGTCAGGGCTGTCCACTTCTTTCGGATCTCCTCCAAAAAGTTAAGCTCTCTGATATAGTAATAATGGCTGGTGACTTCAATGCTCAAGTAGGTAGACTAAGTGAGCAGGAGAGACACGTGGGTGGATGTTATGGTGTCGCGGCTCAAAGAACAGACAATGGTGACCGTCTGTTGCAAGCATGCTCAGACAACCGCCTATTCTTAGCAAACACTAACTTTAGGCATAAGGGAAAGTATCTGGCGACCTCCAAAGTCGTCTCAACGTTGGACGCAACTAGATCAAAAAAACACCTGCCACCGATGAAGGGGTTCGATAGAGGACTGTTGCTCGTTTTGGGGCACATGTTTAGATTCAGATCATCCCCTTGTGCGAGCGCGTATTTGTTTGAAGCTTACTGGGCGCAGGAAAGACACCGTAAGAAAGCCTCTTAGGGTTTTACTTAATGATAATAGGGCGAAGAATATATTTCAGGAACAACTAGAAAGACAGTTAGGCAGCCATTTAAGCGATTCCCATCCGGAGATAGGTTGGAATGATGCCAAAAAGGCTGTGGGAACAGCAGTGATATCTGCTAGTAAGGTTGACCATAGGGCTAGAATTAAGCCGTGGATCTCAGTAGCATCCACCGATCTGATGGATGCCCGAAAACTCATCCCACCTGGCTCTGAACATGATGAAGAACGAAGTCAACTTAGGCGCAGACTTATAAAAAGCCTACGTAACGACCGCGAACAGTGGTGGGTGGCGAAAGCAAAAGCGATGGAAAAGGCAGCGGCGATAGGCAACACTAGACAACTTTTCCGCCTTATTAAAGAAACTGGTATTAAGAACCCGAATGTGAGTGAGACTATCTCGGAAAAGGATGGTCTTATTATCCATTCTCAATCTAGGAGGCTGGACCGATGGGCAGAACACTTTAGGGATCAGTTCAACTGGCCTCGAGCCACTCTTCGGTTACCCACGATCTCCAGTCATCCTGAATGGCAAGTCGACGTAAGTCCGCCTAGTCTTAATGACGTTGAGAAAGCGTTAGGAAATCTGAAGCGAGGACGAGCTGCAGGTCCTGATAGACTGACCCCTGAGATATTTAAGGATGGTGGTCCAGTTTTAGCAGCTAGATTGACTGAGATCTTAGGTAGAATCTGGGAACTGGACGTAATACCATCCGACTGGTCTCAATCACTGATTGTCCCAGTCTATAAGAAAGGAAAAAGGTTCTCTTGTGACAATCACAGAGGAATCAGTCTAACTAATATAGTGTCTAAAAGATGAGCATCAATAATACTTCGATGCTTAACTACAGCTCATGAAGAATGGACTCGATAAAACCAGTCTGGTTTCAGACATGAACGTGGTTTTATAGACCAGATATTCACATTACGACAGGTCCTAGAACACACACACATTTAGGCGTCCAACAGTAGTTGTTTTCCTGGAGCTATAAGGGGCATTTGACTCGGTAGATCGTGAGGTTCTGTGACAGGGTCTGTCATTGAAATGTGTATCAAAGAAGTACATTAACCTTATACAAGCTCTCTATTTCAACACTACTGGTCGAGTGAGAGCTTATGGCGAACTGTCACCGGAATTATTGACTTCAAGTGGTGTCCGTCAGGGGTGTCCACTCTCTCCATTCTTGTGTAATTTTATCATAGACATGGTCCTAGAAATAACCTTATCCTCATCTGAGTTTTCAGGAGTATACGTTTTACCAGGTGGCTCGCTTATTGACTTAGAATATGCCGATGACATTGTCCTACTTGGCGAAGACGCTGACAAAATGCAGAGCCTTCTGACCACCCTAAGCAACAATTCAAGCATGTTCGGGATGTGGTTTCCCCCCACCTCGAAATGCAAAATGTTGCTTCACGACTGTACTGCATAGGCACCTGAACTAGTGATAGGGAGTGAAGTAGTCGAGCATGTTGATCACTTCACTTATCTATGGAGTCTGATCGGAGCTGAAAGCCTGGTGACTGACGAAATCTCAGAACGGATACAGAAGGCTCGACTGGCTTTTGCCAACCTGCGTCACTTGTGAGGTAGGCGAGATATCCGTTTGCTGAATAAAGGCGCAGTGTACTGTGCAGTAGTTCGCTCCGTCTTACTTTATGGCTGTGAAACATGGCCAGTGAGAGTAGAAGATATTCGTAGGTTACTGGTTTTCGATCATAGGTGTCTTCGAAGCATTGCTCGTATACCGTGGGACACCCGAGTGAGCAACGCTGTTATTAGGAAACGGGTGCTAGGTAAGGATGGCAAATCAATAGATGAAGTGGTGAAACTTCATCAGTTGAGGTGGTTGGGACATGTGTTGCGTATGCCTAACCACCGACTGCCTCGACGAGCTTTGTTTTGTAGTGTAGGAATAGGTTGGAAGAAATTTAGGGGCGGTCAGACCAAGACGTGGCAGAAATCCATGAAATCATTGAAGAGTGGACTTAGCCATGTCGGTAATTGTCGACTACCTGGTTGGGGTCCGCGAGATGATAATAATCGATGGTTAGACACCTTCAATGACATGACTCAAAATCGTTCGCAATAGCGCCGGTGCATTTATTCTTTGTGTTCTCTCAAATCCTAATCTTCTGGGTTCTTCAACACCTCTAGTTTTGACTTTTTAAACTTTTCTCATTTAATCAAACTTGTTGAATAATATCTTCTAATCTTAACCCCTCCGATTACTTCTACTATTGGATTTGAATTGACAATTACATCTCTGTGCTGATGTGGTACGTATGGCAACATGAACTGGTGTACTTACGTACGAAGTTCTACGTTGCAACTGACTGACTGACTGACACTAACCTTATACATGCTCTCTACCGGAACACCACTGGTCGAGTGAGGCCTTATGGCGAACTATCATCTGAATTCTCTACATCAAGTAGTGTCCATCAGGGATGTCCACTCTCTCCATTCTTGTTAACTTCGTCGTAGACATCCTCTTAGAGTTAACAGTAGGCTAGTCAGATTTTTCATGGGTTGACCTTCTACCAGGAAAATCGCTTACCAACCTAGAATATGCCAAAGACATAGTTCTATTCGGTGAAGACTCTGACAAAATGCAGAGTCTTCTGACTACCATAAGCAACAATGCATGCATGTTTGGGATGTGGTTTTCCCCCTCGAAATGCAAAATGTTGCTTCAAGACTGGGTTGCTTCGGCACCTGAACTAGTGATAGGGAGTGAAGTAGTCGAGATTTCTCCATTATTATTTGCCTTGATAATTGATGTGCGTTTGGAGCCGACAGTTTCATCATCTGGCTTTTCAGCAGTTAACGTACCGGGAGAATATTGTTGACTTAGAATATGCCGATGACATGGCTCTGTTTGGTGAAGATGCCAGCAAAATACTAAGTCTTCTGACCACTTTAAGCAACATGATCGGAATGCCATTATCCCTTTCGAAACGCTTCAGGATTGGCTTTCGTCGGCACCTGAACTAGTGAAAGTGAAGTAGTTCAGCGTGTTGGCCGCTTCATTTGTCTTAGGCTCGACTGGCCTTTGCCAACTCGCGTCACTTATGGCGTTGGCGCAATATCCGTCCGTCAACCGAAGGACGAGTCTACTGCGCATCAGTGCTTGTTTAGCCAGGGACCATCGAGTAAGGAAGTAAGGAAATAGATGGCAAATCAACCAATGAAATAGTGAGTCTTCACTAGCTTAGGGCATGTTATGTGTACCTGATCGCTGACTACCTTGACAAGTGATGCTACCAGGTGTAGCAGGTTAGAAGAAAGATAAAGCGCCCAAACCGAAACGTGGTTTCAATCCATGGATTCATTTACAGTTGAATGTTGTAGACAACCTGTTTGGCCGTTCACGAGACCATCGTAACTGGTGATATAGCTCAAAATCACTTACAATCGCGCAGATGCATCCATTCTTGATCCTCTCTCAAATTCTAATCTCCCGAATTCCTTGTGACTGCTTTTAGACTTGTTTCACTGTTTTATACCATTCCTGTTACAGACTAATACTTCTACAACGTCTACTACCATGAGCTTTGAACTGACAATCCGATTTCTCTGTGCTAGTGTGGTATGGCAACTTCAACTGATGTACTGAGTCCCAAGTTGCAGCTGACTGACTTATTCCTGAGCAGTGCACTTACTTGTTTTCACGAAAGTTTATAAACAAAATTCACTTTTAAATGCTTTGGACTAAGCAATTAGGTCGATAAATAACAGCCAGGAAGTTTTTAAAGGCATTCTGATTAGCTTCGAATACGATAACGGGGTCTACCATGAATCTATAAGGTGTTGTGTTTGTAAATTTCTAACGTTGTGAGTGAAAGGATACAGCCGTGCATACAGCTGCACAAAACCCGTGACCATGTTTCTCAACAAGTGAGATATCAAAGATAATAACTGTCATGATTTCACGAGACCACATGCAATCGGTAGAAAGAAATCTTAACCTGATAGACTGCTACAGATATAAAATAAGTTTAGTAGCCAAATAACTGCATTCATGAAAATAAGCCTGACACTTGAAATGTAATCTTTAAAAAATGAAAACACTTTTCAACAATATGACAGATTCACGAACTCATTTGTTCTTTAACATTATGCAAATGCTTAAAAGTAAGACGCAGGACAAATGGAATATCGACAGAATAATATTCTGGATGTACACTTATGAATGCATTGATTCGAATACTCCGTAAAAATGTTTCTTTTCAAAGGTACTGTAAGATTGTTTCTTGACATACAATGGTCTAAAAGAAAAACCGAGAACTATTGGATCATCAGTGGAAGTTTAACATTCAGTCAGGATTCAAAGTTACATGCGAACTGTAAACTTGAAATTATGAGGAAGATAGATGAATACGCACGTCGGATCAATTTACAAAAGATGATGGCCTCTTGAAACATATATAAAAGGAAAAGGTAACGACGGGTGGTGTTAGGACCATATATCACTTCTAAACACAGATTAAAACCACAGTTATTGATTTTTCCTTCATATAGGTTCGTCTTAGTTTGTAGGCCTATATCCGTCTTCATAAACCGAAATACACAATCGGCGTATTTGACAAAATCTTGTCCTAAATGGATCACCTCCCAGATTTATTGTCAGCAGCCTGAGGCTAGAACGTCGAGATTTTTCTCATGAACATAGCCACAAAGATTTCATGAAACTGACAGACCAAATGATTGGGACGATTTACTCAGCTGAGCTAAGAATTATACTTTCCAGCAGATGTCTCGTAGAATGATGTCGAGGATGAACTGCAAATGCTTTCTAGAAAAGAAACTACATAAACTACCTCACAACTGCGTGCTATGAATTGTTACCCGATTATCTAATTCTTTCTCGTGCAAACTTCTCAAGTTATCAGATTAAACGAACCTAGTATTACGACGGAACTAATTGTATCGATACAGCCTAAAAATATCTGGAGTTAAGAAAATTCCAAGTCTATTCAAATCTGTGCTTTTTGGAACAACCATTCACTGGAAACCATTTGCATTATTCTCACTGAAACAAATGATACCGTTGTACTAATCTACTGTTTACATTCCCACTAAAAGAATCATCCATATTTTTATCAGTTAACAATATACTTAACCGTCAGTAATAAATTGCTACTTGTGGAATAGGCGTTTTATAAATAACGATGAGCAGTGATTGAAAAATGTAGTCATACCCTCCAGAACCATTCTTCAGCAGAATCTGTCGATTTATTGGTAAAATTAACACCATTATCATCATTTAGAATTACACACCAAGCATATACTCTGAATATACACAACTGCTCAGAAATGTTGGCTGGTTCATTTCTATGTTCAGTAATCGTTCTGTCCAGCAATACTTCTTACGGTAATTTTAAACGTTGTATGCTCTTCATTTTGCCTTTTAACCACGAGTATCAGTAAACTACATATATAAGTACACAATTTAGACAATCATCGAAACCATTCTTACCACCACTAATTCCTACATAGTCATACATTATTGTTGTACCGTTGGGAGCAGACATGTCTTAAGTCAAGATCGTATAGTACTCAAGTGACGATGCAATACAAATTACAAACTGATGTATAAACACTGTACGGTTCGCAGGAACAGTTCAAGGAAATTTTTACTTGGCAACGTCGCGGATCTTTGTACGTATCTACATCAGCTCAAGCTGCCATACCACGTTAGTACAGAGATAATCGTCAATTCAAATCGCATAGTAGTAGACAAACTCCAGCTTTCTACAAACTTACTCGTACATTGTCGTAGACGGTGGTTAAGCAAACATAACATGTTTCGACCGCCTTAATCGAAGGACAACACCTTTGTTAACAAGTTAGCCGCTTGTAGCTGGTGGCCTGTGGCTAGACATAGCATTTTTCACTATGCTGACTCACCAACAAAAAAAGGTTATCACTGACGACAGCCATTCTATGAATTACTAGTGTGACTCTTTTAGCTAGCCAAATAAAATTATGCTAAACAGTCAAGCATTCCGCATCAGAGTTGGTCGATACAGAGACATAGACTATAAACATAACATAGAAATCGGTTAGGCTTTGTTTAGAAAAATAACAACTGAAATCCGCATTCATGCATTTATTACGTACAAGGATCAACTCTCTTCTTCATCATCAGTATCTTCATTCTCAAAGTTGAAGAACCGTAACTCATAAGAATCCTTTGATTTGGCCACAACACGGAGGAAATCTCGTAGTTTGTGACGTTTGAGAAATTTCTTGGTAAGATATTTCAGATACCTATGTATATAAATTAAAAAAGTGTTAAGACTCACCTTTTAGAAAAAGGGATGTTTGAGGTAACATGTATGGTTGATTTGTCACGTTCCACATGAACATCTTTTCCGAGATTATTAAGCTTTTTATTCACTTTAATGCGTTCTTTCAAATATTTTTCCTAAGAGAATGGTCATCAAGGCCATACTGACATACCAGTAAACTGGGGCTAACTATATCTTCATCAATAACTCCAGGGGAAATACATATGCTGAACTTTAACACCTGCTTTTTCTTTGAGGCTGGTTTGTGGGACTTTGGTTTCGGGACGGACTAACGAATATAAATAAAGATAGTACGGTACCTTTGCAACAACCATGCTGAAAACTGTCTTCGCCCGCCGTAAGGTAATAGGCCGTTCAACTGACAATAACCTACGAACGATTGTGATTGGACTTAGTAATTCTGGTTTTAGTTAGAAGGCATGAGGTTAATATGACCATGTATCGTATCAATCATTTACGATTAAGCATTCTCTAAGTCAATAAAGTAGGACTGCATTCATTTTTTTGAGGGGGTAGAACAAGATTTGGTTACTCGCTAGAAAACTGTTTCAAGGGAATTTATTTATTTCCTGGCCTCGAAACTTGAATTAATTTTTCTGTGATTGTTCTTACACAGTTGGTACATAGAAAATGTTCTAAGATCGAAACGACAAAAGCTCTACCTATAAACTGGGTGGTCCCAAAAGCTTTGACAGTTATCTCACAGCAATGTGTAGTAGTTTTTAAATTTTAAGTAATGATGAAGATCAGGTTATTGCGGCTCTCTGTAACAGGTAGATTTATTAAAAGCCTTTTTATTATCAATGAAATCTATATCTATAAGGAGCTCTTAAACTCTTGGAGAGCTCATAACGAGGTAGTGAGACAAAAGTGGCCCGTTCTGAAGCAGTGTTGCATCTCCGAAAGGATCTGTAGTATACAGATGGTTAAATGAGTTAAAAACTGCCTGAACCCTACAGTAATCAATAAATAAAAAATATATCATTCCTCATTCTTTGTTAGATTCAAGTAAATAAGGCTGATTTTTCAGAAAACTTATAGTATACGGAACCGTTAAAATTTGGGATTGTATTGATAGCTGCTCACTGTTCTTATTTCAAAAAATCCAACTAAATTTTTTATAAGGGCTTAGAGCCTGAACAGAATTTTCTTGTCCGCATATCAGCTCAGCCCTGTATTTTGTTGTGACAATAGTCCTTTCCAACTATGTTTGTGTTCATCTTAGTGCATTATATCCATTTAACCCTATAACCATGAGGAATTGATATCAGTTTTAGGACAAAAACCAGGTATAAACTCACAGGTCATCGTGGGACAGTACCAGGGGCTCTGACGTAAATCCTGGTTATCTGCATTAGCGTGTTTACCTGAGGTGCATATGCACTTGAGAACAGTCATAATAACATCACAGTTCAACTCAATAGAACATCTAAATATCTGAGGTGCAATATCCGAATTCACCTAATACCGAAATTTGGCTTACTTAGCTCCAACTACTGATGAAAACTCAAGAAGTGATTAGGAAATAACTCATACGAAGTATAAGATGTAGAAGACCTGGAGACAAATCTTGTGGAGGCCAAATAAATTACTGCTTATATGGTAAGCGTTTGCAATTAGCTGTTGATTACTTTTCAAAACATACCAGAAAATCTCTCATATATTTCATCAGAGGCTCAGTCGCATGATTTGCAACTGTCCATCAAATTTTGTTCTTTTTCGCCTTCGTGTACTCCACAAAAGCATTTTGATGAATGATTTATTGTTACTGATCTTCCTGAAACTAATGAAATTAAAGAATGAACCATGTAGTTGAGATAGCGTGTGGAAAGTAATAAAAGTTCTGTCCAGTTTCCGTTCATTCTTCTCATGTCTTTCTCGATTTCTCAAAGTAATGTGTTCTTTGGCCTTCTTCTTTTCCTTTTGCCTTGAGGGTTCCATGTGAGGGCTTGTCTTGTGACACAGTTAGGTGCTTTTCGTAGTGTGTGTCCTATCCACTTCCACCGCTTCTCCCTCATTTCCTCCTCCACTGGAATCTGGTTTGTTCTCTCCCACAGTTCGTTGTTGCTGATGGTGTCTGGCCAACGAATACGAAGTATTTTGCGCAGACAACAGTTCATAAATACTTGCATCTTATGGATGATGGCTTTCGTAGTTCTCCAAGTTTTCGCTCCGTACAGTAGAACTGTCTTGACTGCCAATCCGCACCCTCATATCTGCATCGGATCCACCTTGATTGTCGATGATGCTGCCCAGATATGTAAAGGTGTTAACGTCCCACAAGGCATCTCAATCAATAGTGATTTGATTGGTGCATGTTGTGTTGCATCGGAGAATTTTGCTTTTTCCTTCATGTATGTTGAGACCTACTGCTGCAGAGGCTGCTGCTACAGTGGTTGTCTTCTCTTGCATTTGATGTTGCGTGTGCGATAGAAGGGCCAAGTCATCTGCGAAGTTGAGATCGTTCAGCTGCTTCGTAGATGTTCATTGGATACCGTGCTTCCCTCCAAATGTTGACGTCTTCATAATCCAGTCGATGACCAGGAGAAAGAAAAAGGGTGAGAGTTAGCGACATTGCCTCACACCGGTCTTCACATTGGACAAGTCTGTCAGCTGACCTCTGTGCACGATTTTGCATTTCGATCCATAATAATAATTCCGTATAATGTTGAATATCCTCTCGATTTATCCGATGGCCATGCTGATCTCTTCAGTTGTTTGTGGATCAACAAAGATTGGGAAGTCCTTAGATGCTGCTTCGATGTTATATGGGTTCAGTGGAGTTCCTTAATTAGATTTTCGAAAAGTGGAACGACAACATCACGGAAGTATAACTGCAAAACGTCCTTTATATGGAAATTCAGATCTCTAAACGCTGGTGAACTACAGAAAATTCTGCCATAGTGAACAGATATAATTCCTGAATATCCACGTGCTTCGATTTATTAATAATTTATTCTCAAATATTTAGAAGTCAGAAGAGGCATGCCACTCTACAGGCGAGATAACAATGTTGAAACTGCTGACATATTTTAGACTTGGTTAATTTCAATGGGACTCTCAAAAGAATATTACTGGTCGGGGAGTACAAATATATCTTAGTGCAGCTGTCAAGGGACTCCTTTGTTTTTTGAGACGGTGAGTCTGTCAAGCTCACATTCAGCTACCTTAATAAAAGATCAAGTTTTGTATGTATTCCCAGCCGTTTTAGTTTTCTGTTTCAATAGCTTTTGGTACATTATGACTAAAAGTTTCTCACAGTAACATCTTTTGTAAAAATAATACCGAATTCGAGCTTTGTAATGGCTATTTAGATTTTGAAGCGCTCACACTGTATGTAACACTCTCGAAATATTGGAAGGACATCTCTGGTACTACAAAAGCATCTTCACGCAAAAAGTATGAACGAAAGTAATCCCTTTTTCTTGCTGCGTCAATATCCGCTGAGTAAACTTCCTATCTAGCCAGTTTCGCAAGTTCGCTATTGCTAGCTGTTTTTTATGTTATACAAACCACTAAAATGTGACATTTAATAACGTTAACGTTCTTTTAACGAGGTACTTAAAGAATAAACCTGTAAAACAAAGTTTTATCCTCCTATAAATGTAGAGATAAGCTCCAAAGATGCATAGTGTAGATTTATTTCGACGGTGGTTGTCCTAATTGCTTCCAATAGAAACACTCCTGTACGTTACTCCTAGATCCAGGTCCCAGCCAAATCAAAAGGGCAAAATTTCTAGGAGAAAACGTCTCTTATTATTATAAAATGGAAATACAGAGTCTTACGGTATTTTTGTTTCTTCCAGGACTAAATTACTCCGTAGAGTATCCAGTACAATAGCTAGTAAGTGACACTAAGTCCAGCAGCCACCGCGTCCATCCAAAAATGTGGCGGTAGCCATATTATATCAAATTTAAACAATATATGTACAGTTCAAAAGCAAACACAAAAACTTCAATATAAGTACAAAATATAGAAAGAATAACAACATACAATGGTAAAAATCTCAAATTGGAATCAAATAAGATACCAAAAATGTCAAGAGAAAAAGTCCATCATGTCATAGCAAAAATATGTAAACATGGAGGGATTTTCCAAAAACACAAAACATTCAAAAAGAATTCTACATATAGTATGACATAAATCGGATACACGGACATTGTCAATACTGACACCTGAAGCTTCTCAAAGAATGATCACAGAGCTGATAAAAACAGAAGTCTAGGATATGGATATGGAAATATATGTTAGGATAATGACCGACGTGTCAGATTGTATGCAACCTAAAATTGACGAAATTTTTCAAACGATCAGCATGATGTATTCAAACGTGATCTGGTGTAGGTGCTTGAAGAGGCACTTTGAGCAAAGGATGTGTACAGTGAAACTCATGAGACCAACATCTGAGTCAAAAACTAATTAGGAACAATTCAGAGAATTTATCGTTTCCCACCTATCAGGCCATACATCAACTTACTTTAGTCCTTTTTATCTGGTTCATTAAACACGAGTCAATCTGGGAGGCCTTTAATTGCTTTTAAACTTCTACTTCCCAGACTAGAGCAGAATCGGAAAAACTGGAAATGAGACATTTCCCTAGCAGAGAAAGTCACTAGCAGTTGTATTACTTCATATGTTGAGGTAGCGGTTCATAAGATTTATTAATTGACTAGTCAGGACAGTAGTATTTCACAGCGTGTATATGTTGAACAATGTCCCTTCAGCTAATTGGTGTATAGTTAATACAAAAGAATCATCATCAATGTCGTTAACTTGCCAATATTATTCTCAACTAAACTGTTTTGAAGCAACAAGTTATCCTGTACACCTTGTTGGTTTAGAAAGCTGTTCCACTCATCATAGACGTACTTAGTTGCAGACAATTAATAACAGATGGCAGAGAAGTTGTAGGTGAGGACGATGATTACTTTTATATTTGTTCACTTGTAGTGATATATGACAACTAGAGACATACATTCGACTGAAAAAAACGTTGACATCTTGGATAGACAGAATACAAAGAACAGTGATAAATTCTTAGAAACTTGACACGTCAACTTGCATTCGATGAACACATCACAATCAGTCCAAATCAAAAAGTAATCTGGAAAACCATGAACATATATAACATCACGTATCATAACAGAGAGGTAGATACAAACTAACGAATATCGAGGTCAATAGTACAAGCTAAGAGCTTGAGAAATCCGAATACTTCTGTTCTACCCGAATTCCGCGCTTGTGATGTTGTTCAGAACAGTAAACGCCGAACGACTGAACCATCCAGCACAGAGGACGAGACTTCATCATAAGCTACTGACAACAAACACAAAGTATAGATTGACAGCGTCCGACGACAGTTATCTTTCTGGACCTTAACGCTTAATTTGAATCAGTCAGTCGTGAGGTTCTGTAGCAATGTCTATTATTAAAAGGAGTACCAATGAAGTACATTAACCTTATACCAGCTCTCTACTCGAACACTACAGGTCCAGTTACAGCTTGTGGTGCACTGTCATCGGAATTTGTTATTTCGATTGCTGTTCGTCAAGACTGTCAACTTTCTCCAATCTTGTTTAATTTTGTTTTGAACATGCTTCTGGAGATAAAATTATCGCCTGAACTTTCAGAAGTAGAAGGAGATCCATTGATTGATTTAGAATATGCCGATGGGATAGTTCGACTTAGTGAAGACACTGGCAAAATGCAGTGTCTTCTGACTACCCCAAGCAACAATGCAAGCATGTTCAAGATGTGATTCTCACCGTCGAAATGCAAAATGTTGCTTCAGGGATGGGTCGCATCGGCACCTGAACTAGTGATAGGGAGTGAAGCAGTTGAGTTTGTCGACCGCTTCACTTCTCTTGGGAGTCCTGATGGCCTGGTTTCTGATGAAATATCAGCATGAATAGAGAAAGCTCTATTGGATTTTGTCAACTTACGTCACCTATGGCGCAAGCGAGATATCCGTTTGCTGACTAAAGAACGAGTGTACTGTGCAGTAGTTCGCTCCGTCCTACTTTGTGGTTGTGAAACATGGCCATTCACAGTAAAAGATCTTCGTAGCTTACTGCTTTTAGATCACAGGTGTCTCTGAATAATTGCTCGTGTATCCTGGGATAACCGAGTAAGCAATGCTGTGGTTAGGAAACGGGTCCTAAGTAAGGATGAGAAATTATTAGATGAAGTATTGAAAATTCATCAGTTAAGGTGGTTGGGACCTATGTTATGAACGCCCAGCCACCAACTGCCTCGACGAGCTAATTCACTTAATTATACATGTTGAATAATATCTTCAAACCCTAATCTCTTCGATTACTGCTAATACTTTTACTACCTCTAATACTATGGAATTGGAATTGACAATTACATTTCTGTGCTAATGTGGTATGACAGTTTAAACTGATGTACCTACGTACATACGTAGTTCTGCATTGCTGTCTGTTGATTGATCGATAAGTTGATACTTTCAGTATAACACTCCCATTTTATGCTTTCCCCAGCTTATAAACATCCACTACTAATCTTACACATTATTAATATTAGATAATCAGATACCTTAACGTGGTAGTCGGGCTTGCCTACCATCATGACCCAACCGAACTATACTGACTGGAACATATGTTCCTGCAGGTCCTTCCATGCAAGGCAGGTCGATTGGAGAACGATCAGACTAAAAGCAGCTACCCAAGGTCTGAGGGCGAAGTCGTACTGCTGACTGTGATGGAGGAGTGTGACAGCAGTAAGGTGTTTCCCTCGGACGACCAGCATCTGCAGCAATGCTGCCTTCTCACAAGGAAGGAATAGGTTAGAAAAGGTCGACCCTAAAATGTCACACCTCACCCTAACTCACGGATTTCCGTCTCCGTCGGGGCTTTCAAGAGCGGAGCTAATCGTGAAAAAACCCTCCATAAAAAGGCCGTGCGTGACCGGCCTCAAGTAGTTGTCCCTTGGACTCTGCGGTCACGCTCCCAGGTCTCCAAGACCAACACACTAATCTATCTTCCTTTTCGGGTCCCACAAGAAACAACCTTCGACGGTATGGCCAGCCAGGAAGTGACAACCACCCTCATACCCATAACACCACGAAAAAATTGAACTACTCAATTGACACAATCATACAAAACAGCCAAATAATAGGTTTATTGATTTATTTAAAAAAGAAAGGAAAAATAATAAGCAATTTTACAAGTCAGCATATGTAAACTATGTTTTACAAAATAATTTTTTTTTAAATAACTAGAATTAAAAGAAAAAGTGGTGGTGGGGGGGGGGAATATTGGGTAAGAAATCGAGAAAAAAAAGAAGTCGAAGATAAAAACCACTGATGAATGAAGGAGGAGGGTGGGGAAAGGTTATAGTTGCTGTTTAATTTTTTTAGTAAAAATAATTATTTTTTCACAGAAAAAAAAGATAGAAAATAACACTTCTTTTTCATTGTTTGAGTAAGTCAAGAAAAAAAAAACAAATTGATCATTATTTTGAATAATAATAGAAAAGCAAAACCAACTTACCTAAAAGTAAAATTTGAAATTTTTTATACTTGATCATATCATATCATATATCTTAAAAGTTATTAGTCTAGTAAAACAAACTTGAACATTGATCAATGATCAATGATCAATATATATATATCTATATATGATGAGATTGTTTTGTGGTTGTTATTGTGTTTTGTAGTAGAATAAGAAGAATAAGAATATTAATAATAGTAATAAGAAGCCAACTTAACAGAATGGAATGTCATTAAATAAGAATCTCTATCTATCTCTCTCTCTCCCTCTCTCTTGCTATATATATAAGTGTGCATTGTTGTGTATTGATGCATAGAGCTCTTGATTATCATCGTCATCATCAGCATCGTAATCACATATCACGCATTTCTTTAAAGAATAATTCCATTTCTTTTTTAAGTTTTTCATTTTCTGTCTGTTGTTTTAATAATTCAGCTTGATTTATGAACGAAAGAAAAGGAGAACAAAGGAAAACAGAAGATTATAAATATGATGCATGCGATGTGAGCATGAGAATTGTGCTCAAATACAACAACAACAATGGCACAGGAAGCAAGCTTATCAGCAGTGTTGAATAAAGCCCTTCATAAGATGGTGGAGAAAACTTGTAGCTCAGGTGGATGATTGTGGTGGTGTTTGGTTGTCTGAGCTGGGTGTTTTTGGTTGTGGAGCTTTTATTGTTCTCCTGCTGAACAACATCATCAGCACAAACTTTGAATGATTCACTTCTATCTGAAGTTTGTGCTGATGATGTTGTTCAGAACAACAATCAAAGCTCCACAACCAAAACATCCTCAGATCAGAGAACAAAACACCACCACAAAGCCCTTGATGGTTTGTTTGATATGACGTTATTTGATAAATATATGAAGGGGAATGACAACACACTTTTTGGTTGATAGGCTGAAGGATGATCGTAGTGGATATTTAATTAAAACTTCAAATGATTTTGAGTAAAACTAGTTTCTTTAAGCATGTTATTATACACGATTCACTGTTCTAATAATCGATGGCCATCGTATTACACATTTGAAATCATCAATCAATCATTGTTTGACCGCCATTAGAAACCTGAAAGCACTGGACGACCGTTTCGTCATGGCATGGGACTCATCAGTAGTGTACATCCACGACTCCTGCACCTCGCTGGATTCGAACCCGAGACCTTCGAGGTGATCAATGGAGTTCAACCCTGTCGCATGTAGGCAGTAACTACCAAAGACAAATGGGTGAGACTGCGCGAAGTCCGTAGATCACTCAGTTGGACAATAACACTGTTGGATACCGGCGCAGTGGTCCGATGGTTAGGCGTTCGCGCACAATACTGAAGGTCCCGGGTTCGAATCCTTTGTGGTGCAGGAGTCGTGGATATACAGTGCTGATGTGTCCCATACCAGTGCTTCCAGGTTTCTAATGGTGGTCTGACAATCATGATTTCAAATGTGTAAAAAAAACCGCTAATCTCTCCATAGCTCTAACTGAAGAACATCGTATTACAGACAGCGCGGTAGATCAGTTGATGAAGTGTTGAGATTTCATTAGTGGACGTGGTTGGGACATGTGTTACGTATGCCTAACCACCGACTGCCTCGTCGAGCTATGTTTTGTGGTGTAGGAATAGGTTGGAAGAAAGGTAGGGGCGGCCGAACCAAAACATGGCACAAATCCATGGTGTCCATGACAACTGAACTGAGCCATGTTGTTAGATGTAGACTACCTGGTTGGGGTCCGCGAGATGATTGTAATCGATGCTTAGAGACCATGAATGACATGGCTCAAAACCGTTTGCAATGGCGCAGATGTATTTATTCTTTGTGTGCTCTCGAATCCTAGAATTTTTAATTCCTCATCACCTTTATCTCTTTACTTTTAAGTTTATTTCACTAGATTCTACTTCTTGAATACTATCTTTAAACTCTAATCTCTCCGATTACTGCTGATACTTTTACTACCTCTACTAGGATTTGAATTGACAATTACATCTCTGTGCTAATGTGGTATGGCAACTTGAAATGATGTACGTACGTGCGTACGTACGAAGTTCTACGTTGCAACTCATCATCATTAACAGACAACATTATTCAGTTTACTGATGCTTCGTTAAGTCAGTTGAAATGTATGCACACCACACCGATTGAATTTGTAAGGTCTGAGATACTGCCCGGCTACCTCAACCGAATCAGGTAGTTTTCTTAGGAGGCCCCTACTCCCTGAGCCTTTCATCCACAGGTCTAATCCACAAAGCAGTAGATCATTGTCAAACGATACAGTCCCATGATATCTGGTGACAAAAAAACTAGGTCCACACACCATCCATTCCATCAAGATCCTAGAGACTGTGTGCACCATTGGTTTGAAATTGTAGTTTTCCAACTCCTCTACGTAAATCCCCTATATGTGCACCAATCTAGTTAAAGTTCTGAACAAATATTGACTTTTTGTTCGCAAAATTTCGTAAACAACATCCCTTCTGTACAAGAAAACAACGAATACGCCTATTCCTGGCAGTGGCTATATGTGTATGGCCATATGATGAGAGTATTTGGAAGGGAAGAGCAGACTCTCTCTCACACTGTCGGCCATCAGTTTTTTTTACTAATATTAACTGAATGATTTCAAAATGTCAGCCCGTTTTAAAATAATAATATTAATAATAATAGTAATAAATGAAAACATCAAATAAATTGATCATATCTGAGAAAATTTTTACCTTTACGTGATTTGATTTGTCGTTCAAGTGTAGCAATATTTCTTTCAGAATTCTCATAGGTATCGATTGCCTTAAAAAAATATATACACAATACAACACAACACTTGAATGAAAGTTTGAAGCGAAAATCAATCATGTGGAAGTGAAAATGATCAATACCGAACTACAAGTACTACTGTAGTGAACGAGAACACAGGTGAGGGCAACCGAATTGTATTTAACGAAAATTACACAGTTACTCAGTAAAATAGGAAAATCATATCGTAAATCGTTAATTTGCAAAATATCAGTTCATCATATCGAACTGGACTGTTCCTGTTGCAAAACATCAATCCATTGTCACTATTCATGCGTTTCATACAAATTCCATTGTGTTCCCAGTCTTCCTTTCTTGATCTTACCTCATCTTCTGCTGCCAGACATTACGTTTTTGCTCGCGTCATATACTACTTATAAGTAGCTCACACCACACTACTACAGTAGTATCTCAACAAGACGAAGCAATCAACCAATCAATCAATCTTTGTTTAAAAAAATCAACTTATATTACTAAATTATTACAGTAATGTCTAGTGCATAGGTTGAACAGATGTAGTTCATTGAAATAGTGATGTGTCGCACACTCTGTCTTTCTGAAGTATACAATACACATCAATGTCAAGTCAGTCATAACATAGGACTTGGTACAGGTAAGTTTAGGTTGTTATACTACATTAGCATAGAGGCGCAACTGTCAGTTCAAATCACATAGTGACAGAGATAGTAGAAGTATTAGCGATAATGGAGAAGATTAGGGTACGAAGATATTTTCCAAGAAGTATAATTCAGTGAAATCAATTTAAAAAGAGAAATGTAGTGGTGATGAGGAAATCAGAAGATTAGAACGTGAGGGAACACAAAGAGTGGATGCACCTGCAGCATTGTAAACGGTTTTGAGCCATGTCATTCAAGGTCTCTAACCATCGATTATTATCATCTCGCGGATTCCAACCACGTAGTCGACATCTAACGACATGACTCAGTCCACTGGTTATTGACTTCATGGGTTTCTGTCATGTTTTAGTCTGGTCACCACTAGCTTTCTTTCAACCGATTCCTACACCACAAAATATCGCTCGTCGATGCAGTCAGTGGTTGAGCATACGTAATACATGTCTCAGCCACCTCAACTGATGAAGTTTCAATACTTCGTCTATTGAAGTGCCATTCTTACCTAGCACCCGTTTCCTAACGACAGCATTTCTTAATCAGTTGTCGCAGGATACATGAGCAATTATTCAGAGACACCTATGATCAAAAAACCAGCCACCTACCAATATCTCCTACTCTGACTGGCCATGTTTCACAGCCATATAGTAGGACGGCACGAACTACTGCACAGTACACTTGTCCTTCTAGTCAGCAAAGCTTCTGCGAAAGAGAGAGAGCGCAATAGCTCATGTTCTACTGAAAAAATTATATCTCACTAGTGATCGCAGACTACTTACTTACTACTTTATTATTAAGAGTACTTTTTTTATTTACAAACTAAAAACCAATCGATCAATAGAACATATCTAAATCTCTCTCTCTCTATATATATATATATATATCTACTCATCTACTCATTTATGATAGATAAGAGAGAAAACCAATTGATTTAATAACTAGAAAAAAAAAGTAGAAACAACAGAAACATTTTATTTGCGATTTCTTTGCACTAATTATTTCACATTTTGGCAATCAGTGTATGTGTGTGTGTATGTATGTTTGAGTGTGTAGTAGTAAGTACTCAAGTTGGAGAGAATAAACATTTTTTAATCGGTTAGTATTTAGTATTTCACTGACATGCACACAAGCGCACAAATAGTTACATTTATGCATTCAGCACACATAGACACACACACACACAGAGGGAATCTAGTTATCATCAAAAAAACATTATGACCATTCATTTTTCTTCTTACCAAGATAACTAACTACCAATACTACTACTACTACTACTAATAGTACTACTTAATTACAATACCATTACTACTACTACCACTAAGCAATGTAATCATTAAAACACAAATAGATAGATAGATATTTAAAACAAATGTCGATTTTAAAATCAGAGAGAGGTGATTCAAAGTATAAGTATATAAATACATAAATATATATTTCTAAATTTTACAAAAGATGAATATACCATAAAGAGAGAGAGAGAGGAGTAAGGAGTACAACACAGTGAATGATGAATCATTGTACACACTTCTCATTGATAGTTGTTGCATTGGTGCAAATATAAATAACTAACTAGTACTGTACTATTATTATTGATATTAACATTTTTGTAAATATCATACATAACATCGGTTATTGACAATCGTATTTATTGTCTTGTCATTGAAATAATCATACTATTAATATCATACTTGCGATGCATTGATTGGATTCAATTAAAACACACCACACCGCACACACACACACACGCACATAAACATGATTGCGAAGAAAAACACCAACAACTAAACAAAATAAAAAATTACGTGGTGGTTGTACACGTGAAGTAAGTATATAGAAGATCGGATGAAAATGAGATCACAGGAGTAGTTTTTTTTTGTTTTATTTAAAAAAATAAAGAGATATATATTATTGATTGAATCTGGATGAGTTAAAGAGAATACAATTATTATTGTAGCTAATAAAACACAAAACGTGTGGAATGAATCCGTTGAATACTAACAGAAACAGGTTAGTCAGATGCAACGTAGAACTTTGTACGTACATACGTACATCAGTTCATGTTGCCATACCACATTAGCACAGAGAGGTAATAAAGGTATTAGAAGTAATCGGAGAGGTTAGAATTAGAAGATATTATTCAAGAAGTATGATTCAATGAGATAAGTTTAGAAAGTAAAAACTAGGTGTTGAAGAATCCAGAAGATTAGGATTTGAGAGAACACAAAGAATAAATGCACTGGCGCCATTGCGAACGATTTTGAGCCATGTCATTCAGGGTCTCTAACCATCGATTATTATCATCTCGCGGACCCCAACCAGATAGTCGACAATTACCGACATGGATTTCTGCCATATTTTGGTTTGGCCGCCTCTAACTATCTTCCAACCTACTCCCACATTACGAAACAAAGCTCGTCGAGGCAGTCGGCAGTTAGGCATACGTCGCACATGTCCCAACCACCTCAACTGATGAAGTTTCAGCACTTCATTTATTGATCTGCCATTCTTACCTAGCACCCGATTCCTAATAACAGTGTTGCTCACTCGGGAGTCCCAGGAACAGAAACAGGTTCATCATACTGTATGTAGTATTACTCAAAACGTGGAGAGATTGTTTTGGAAATAAAAAATATATACGTGATTTTTCAATTAGAGCTATGGAGAGATTAGCGGTTTATTTTTACACATTGATATCATCAATCAATCAATCATTGTTGGACTAGTATTGGAAACCTGGAAACATTGGATGTGACCGATGGAGTTCAACCGTGTCGGGTATAGGCCGTACTTACTACCAAAGACAAATGAGTGAGGTTGCACAAAATCTCTAGATCAATCAGAGTTAGACATGAACATCGTTAGATTCTATCGGCTTAATGGTCCAACAGTTACGAGTTCACGCGCAAGACCGAAGGTCTAGGGTTCGAATGCTGCGAGGTGCAGGAGTTGAGGATGCGCAGTGCCACTGATGAGTCCCACACCAGGACGAAACAGCCGTTTTTCAGTGCTACCAGGTTTCTAATGATGGTCTAACAAGGATTGATTGAGGATTTCGATGTGTAAAAATGTAAGCCAGTAGAATGAGTAAGGAGCAGGCGATACAGTTCATCTCCCACTTTGATAAATAATGTAAGGAAACCCTAACCAGTATAACTGTCGACTTTTATGCTAAGCTTCAAATCAAACCATTGATTTACAGCTGTACGTTCTTCAACTAGGCAGTTGTATTGGCCACGGAGCATCCATTCTTTGTGTTCTCTGAAGTTCTCGTCTTCTGCATTCCTCATCAGCTTTATCTTTTTCATCTGAAGTTTGTTTCACTAGATTACACTTCTTGAATAATGTCTTCGAACCCTAATCTTCTCTATTACCGCTAATACTTCTACTATATCTATCACTATGATGTTTGAATTGATGCAAGTAGTTACAAAGTTCTACGTTGTTGCTGACTGAGGCAGTTGTGGTAATTCAACATATTTCAGTCCTACATATCTAGCACTCACATCATGTCACCGCATCAAGCATATAAAAAGTGATAATAGAGAGAGGGGGTTGTGTACCTTTACTCTCATTCTGAGGTATTTTTTTTACAGAGACTTCGACCTTTTTTAATCAAGCTCTAGGGAACACTCTTCTCCAACAGACGACCTCATAGTTAGGTTATATGAAACAAATCAAAGGCAAAGCTGACACGAAAGAATACAATTATTGTTGCGATGGTATTCACAAAATCAACTGCATACAAACTTTGTTCAAGAGAGAGAAGACAAACTGCAGCACCTCGGAGGATTACAACCCGGAACCTCCGGAGTGAACAATGGAGTTCAACCCTGTCGGGTGTAGGCAGTAACTACCAAAGAAAAATGGGTTAGGTCGCGCACAGTCCGTAAATCAATCAGAGTTAGACATTAACACCGTCGGATGCCGGCGCAGTGGTCCGATGGTTAGGCGCTCGTGCACAAAACCGAAGGTCCCGGGTTCGAATCCTGCGAGGTGCAGGAGTCGTGGATGCGCAGTGCCACTGATGAGTCCCATACCATGACGAAACGGCCGCGTTTCAGTGCTTCCAGGTTTCTAATGGCGGTCATATAATAATGATTGATTGAAGAGAAACCATTTGCCAATTATTTTCTTTTCATAAAATGACCAATATATTTCTCAGCAAATAAACAAAAAACATCCGGATATTTTAACGAAAAGATTCAGTCAGCTACAAGGTATAACTTTGTACGTACATCAGTTCTGGTCGCCATACCACATTGGCACAGAGATGTGATTGTCAATTCAAATTCCATAATAGTAGAGGTATTAGAAGTATTAGCAGTAATGGAGAAGAATAGGGTTCGAATAAATTATTCGAGA